CCTCCCCCTCATCCTCCTCTTCATCCTCCTTATCTCTTCCATCGTCCTTCTCTTCTTCCTTATTATACATTCCACACTCCACCGCATCTTTCTCCCAGCATCTATTTATCTCCCTCCTGGATCATCTATGTTCTCCTGCAGGGGTCGGCTCTTGAGAACTAGTCATGGGATGGAGAATTTTTGTAAGAACCTCGTTAAGTATTAAAGGTTAGGAGAACGGAGTTATCTTGCATGCGGGATACGTCTATTACCATCACCACCACCACCACCACCACTACCACTACCACCACCACCACCACTACCACTACCACCACCACCACCATCACTACCACCACCACCACCACTACCACCACCACCACTACCACCTACACTACCAGTTCCCCTCCCCCCTATAGGTTCTCTCTCTAATCACATTCCGAATAACAGGTTCTACTAATAGTGTTTCCCCGTAATGATGTGAAGATGAAAGTAACATAATTATAACTTAAAATGTGTGTTATTAAGTGTAATTTTTAAGTAATTAGGAAATATATGTGTTAATTATCTCACGTTCTGGATTACGTCAACTTTTTTTTTTTAATAATTCATGGAAGACATTGAAGATCAGTTATTGGTACTGTTAGGTATAATATATAAGTTATTTTAACATATAACCACCTACCATGCCTGTCTGTATGTAGGTCATGTCTCAATAACCATGACTTTATTTAGGTACTAAGTCATTACATAGTTACTGCCGTATGTTTTATTAACCTGAGAATATATCATTGCTTGAGCCGATTGCTTCCACTATTATTTTGCTTCAGCTGAAATTATAGGCTTCAACACAACCTATTTAATTTTATTGTTTTACTTAGATTCTATTTTGTCCATACATTTAGGTTCTAATCTCTCTCTCTCTCTCTCTCTCTCTCTCTCTCTCTCTCTCTCTCTCTCTCTCTCTCTCTCTCTCTCTCTCTCTCATTTACATTAAACTAGGATAGGTGAGACTGTCCTAGAAATGAGGTAAAGGAAATCAGTTCGGAAATGGCAGTGGCTGTGAAGGGAATATCCCCGGACAGTATTATATACGTTGTTTAAATCCGGGTTTTTCCACGTCCGCTTTTGGAAATAAATTACGTTGTGTTTATTTATTTTTTTTGTTTATTTTGCAACTTATCGTATGTTAATTATTATAGATGTTGGTTAATTTAGAATTTATTGGTGTTATAGATGTTGATTTTATTTAGAATTTATTAATGTTATAGATGTTGATTTTATTTAGAAAGATGACCACTGAAGTTATTTATTTATCTCTTGTGTTATGACGCCAGGCAGAGATAATAATATATAAGAGTGTGGGTAAAACTTATACTGTATTGATTGATTTAGGTTAAGTTTGTGTGTGTATTTCAGTTGTCTATGAGGTCACGACTTCTGACAATGTAGGCGTCAACACACCTCCTCGCTGTACTGTCTGGTATGGGCCGGATGTAGCACACGTACCATACATTCCTTAACCTATTGAACTTCATTCCAGTGATCCCATTTTTACCGACACGTGGCAGGAGTTATTATTAGAGCTGGAACGTGAACGACTCCACCAAACCTTTAATGATTGTTTAATGAATAACTCACAAATTAATGACAGCTGTGGCAGATTTTGGACCACATGCACTGTATATCGGTGTGAGGCTGACTAATGGTAATGGACGAGTAACTGTGTCTGCAGGCACTGTGGGTCCTACCTACACATTGCAGAAGAAGCTCTCAACATTACAGTACTGGGGACTCAGAAACTGCTTGGTGTCACCGCTGATGGGGAAGCAGCCAGTACAGGTCAACACAATGGTTAAGTGAGGATCTTGATCGATAAGTTTTCACTCACTGATGCGTTGCTCGTCAGTCACATTTGGCTATTGAATCTGTTATAAATAGTTGCCAGAGCTCAGCGTTTGGAAAACAAATATTCTTTCAGTCATCGCTAATAATAATAATAATAATAATAATAATAATAATAATTAACGGTTTATTGAAAGAGCTTGGCAGCCAGAAGGCTGAAAATATACAGTTACATATTTGGGGAATGGGTTTCGAATTACAAATAATATACAAGTAACATAAGTGATACAAATAAGATATATAATAACTAGATAATGCTGAGGTCAGAGAAGGAGAGGCCTGGCGTGGTTAAACAATTTTCTCATCATGAAGTTCACTTTGCACAGCCTCAACTGACGCTGATCGGTGCAGTCTTGCTCAACCTGCCTGGCTGTACCGCCATCTGGGAACAAATGGCTACGGCAAGATCGTCCAGTTAAAGAAAATATGAAGCTGCTGTATTTCTTTGTATTTGGAAGTTATCGGATAGACAGGTTTGGCTATCTGCCACAATGAGAGACATCAATATATAGGAACTCTAACTGCAGCTGCGAGATAGCCACCTGTCTGCCCCAAACGTTCTTACTATTATGGAGGGTGCATCTACAAAGCTTCATTTCACATATGCTGTAATATGGCTTTTCCTGGAGAGAGGAAGGTGTGGCTCTATCATGTAACATTAACCGGCGAGATCTACAAGCTGTCAAGCAAGAAATTATCATGCCTTCTACAGAGTTGCTGCAACAGTTCTTGTAACCCGAACAAGAAAGTATCATCGAAGACACCAGGTCAGTAGTGGGGTTGCAACACTGCAGCAGTACCTGAATGCAGAGTTGCAGACGTAAATTTGTCAGGGAATTTTTCACGCATGACGATGTCTCAGTGTTTGCTAACGAGGATTGGTGAACAATGGAGCACCATTAAAGGCATACCTGACCTGCCCCCTTGTGCTGTACTGGTGGAGGCACGAAACTAGCTGACAAACTCCCCAGCTTGTTGCGAGAACAATGGGGCTTGTACAGATGCCCTTGGCAGCTATGTGGCGATGAGCTGCCATGACAGAGAGGTTGTCTGTCATCATACATTAATGTGATCGTCTCCAAACACCGGACACCCCTGGCAGAGGTAGTCTGTGATGACCGGCTCACGGTGGCTGTGACTGGGGTTGGTATTACTCTCTCTGATACTCGTCTGAGCGTCCTATGATTCCTGGCCAGAAAAAGAAGGATAAAACAGGTGCTCCTGACTGGTCTGTGTACAAACAGAGATTTCATGAAAAAATTTGCTAGTGCGGTGAGCAATGTATAGCTGCGCCTATCGTTACACGCTGTTATAGTGTGACTTAGTGACAGTGTTTTAGAAATAAAACTTGTTAGGCTTCCTGGCCAGTGACAGTCTTAGCTAATTAAGCAATGAGCGTTATAGTGAAGGTATATCTTGTCGTATACACTGTACGTAATTTGTTGTCTACTATTTTGTTGATTCATAACTGAAAGTCATATTTAAAATAAGGGTTACTGAAACTGATAAAATTTTACTTTTTCCATTAACAGAATTAAGCTTGGTACTGTACATGCTCAATAACGGTATACACACACACACACACACACACACACACACACACACACACACACATATACTGTATATATATATATATATATATATATATATATATATATATATATATATATATATATATATATATATATATATAATATAGTGCTACAATACAGTAGCCTATGGTATGTGTATAGTATGATAATATACAATTATTTCCTAGTGTAAGGAGGCGTCGATTTCTCAAGTTTCTGTGGGCTGAATATAATAAATTGTAGCTTTTCGTACTTGGGAAGGTGTCTAGAATAAGGTATTTAAGTTATTTTTAACATTTAGACATAACCAAATCTAATCCGCCAAAAATATACAATAAGCACTGAAGTTTTTACCTGAAGATCGTGACCGTCGTAAGTTGAAAATTACTTTCTTCACGACAACTCTGAAACTAAGCACCATATCAGGATGGGATTTATTGCATTATATTTAGCGACGAAAGGCACGTCAAAGTTCTCAGTTGATCTCTGTGACGTCACGTTTCTCCATAAAATGACTTCATCGATGACGATTATTCACCAAAACAAATATGGCACTGTACAGGAGGAATCATTTGTGCCGGCCCCTAGGAATGCCACATAAGTTTACTGCACCATGTTAGGTCAAAGGTCAAAGTCGCAATGACCAAAAATATTGCAATTTTTTAATTATACATCAGAAACTACTGTATACAAGCTTCACATTTATTGACGATTTGTGAGAAACTTCACCGGCTCGTGAAATAAAAGCAAGAGTGAGCAGGTAAATGACGTCAGGAGTGTGGGGCTTCCCCTTCTGTAGGCGATAACGAGGTTGGAGTGGGTTGAGTCGTCTCTCATTAGTGTTTATGGTTCTTGTGTTATTAACTGTATCTTCAATCTCCTCACTTTTATTACACATGTCTACTTTATCATATATCTATTTCATTAATCATCTTTGTACTCTTATCTAACAGCGTTTAATTGTATCGGTAACATTAATATACAGTAGTTAGTACAGTTCTTATTTATTGTGAATTTGTACAGTATTACCTCTAATATTTTAACTTTTATCTTTTTTATGTAATATTATCTCTAAATGATGAGTTAATATAGTCATCTGGGCTGGGGTGAGGACGACTCAGGGTAACTGGTTGTGTCAGACAGGTGTGTGAGAACGAGTGTTGGTAAGGATGATATTGAAAACAAAATACTTCATCCATATTTACTTCTTTACCCTGGTGGCGGGGTACAAATTATTACCTAATTACTGATATATATCTCATTAAAATTATTTGTGAAAGTTGACAGTTTACTATATGAGTTAGTTTAATTATTTCTTTTACTGATATATATCTCATTAAAATTATTTGTGAAAGTTGACAGTTTACTATATTAGTTAGTTTAATTATTTCTTAATACGATTTTAAGTGACAATTAGGTCAGAAAAGCGAAAAAAGACTTCCATATATTAAGGAAATATAATAACAATATTTCAGAAGTTTGGATAGATGTGTCGTCTGCAGTGTAAAGGTTTTAAAGCAAAAGACGATCTGTGGGTGAACTTGACGGGAGATCAGGAACTATACTGTGGAGAGAAAGACGATCCAATACTGTTATTTGATCATATGGTCCTTAAAAAACATTGGTATTATATCCATGATTTTGAAACGGCGAGAAGCATGGCTCCTGCCGTGTTTTTCTTGAAATTATTACTGCCCACTACATGTAACATCCCGAAACTGGGGCCGAGAATAGTGAAGGAGGACTTGAAGTTACTGCCAAGACGCTGTGGAGCCTGCAGGAGGTATGGTGAGTAACTGTGGGAAGCATCACAACCGTGCAAGCAAGCAGGCACATTTTATTGGCAGCATCCAACATTATCTCTGCCCTACCGGGGGAAATTTGTATATGAGAATTCAGGAAATTTACTTTACCGATTGGTCATGTTACTTTGCTAAATTTAACGTTGGTATATAGTACAGTACAGTAATTGATTGTTAAAGACCCGGCGGGGCTCATATTTCTTAGAAAAAAGTATGTAAGGCCATTTTACAAAATACATGGGTAATAGCTTGGACGTCAGACTCAGGGGAAGGAGCAACCTTGGTATTTTTTAACTTAAAAAAAACTTCAGTTAATGTTGACGACTAACCGGTCGATGTGTTATTTGTTTTGATGTTTATTTTCTTGCGATGCTTTTATCAGTGAGTTCCGATATGATAATTATTTCTTATGCAAATGCTCCATTTGGGAGATAATGAGGCACCTAGGTGTGCACTACTGTGTCTTACTTGGCGGTAATGCTGTATCCCGGATTTAAACAGCCAATCACGCCGACATACAGGTATTTCAAAACTCAACCGCTGCCTGTGTGCAATGTATGCTTATGAGCCGTTTGGTCCGGGCGGCTGTTTTCACGTCCACAAAAAAAAAACGTAAAATTAAACCATATCATAGTAAGTTCTTTCTGTTTAATATGCCAGGGGGGCAGAGCCCCACGGCTAGGAAGTAAGGTAAGGTTAGATAGATTTATTTTCTTTGGTTAGGTTGGTGGTCTTCTAACAGTGCTTCTGCCACTTGTTTTTCTTATAGTAGTTCACACAACATTCCTACCCCAAATCCATTATCATTCAGAAAAAGACGTCTAATTTTAAGATAATTTTCTTCTATTACATTACCGTCGGAAACGTATAATAACAGGTATAGTGCATACCAAATCTTTTTCTATTTAATTCCATTAATCTTCCCTTCATAAATCGTCATGTGCATGCTTTCCCGTACACGTCACGCAGCCAATCAAAAGCGTTGTTTTTTTTTTCTTCCATCAATTAAAATGAGATGTGGTTTCTGCTTTTAGAATTTGTGATATTTTTTGCCCAATCAGATTCGATTGTGATTTTGGGTCTCTCATACTTCGAAATTGAAATTCATTTCCGACCATGGAATTCTGCGATGGGTGTCACTTCAATTATATGGAGTTAATTACGCATTTTGGGAAAACTAACAAGATATAGCATTTTTTAGATCTCATGGTGTTCTCCCGACGTCAGTAAAGTGTCCTTAGTGTAATAAGGAGTGTAAATATTGTCAAGACCAACACAGTTGGCATTGTAGTAACTTGTTCTGGTTAGGTTGGGGACGATAACAAAAAAACAGGCAATTTCCAATGGAAATCAAGGTCAGAACCAATCAAATCACAAAAAAATACACTAGAAAAAACAGTTTTGACTTTCTAACAGAGTTATGTGAACTACAGTACTATAAATTTACCTTTACACTTTCCATGTTGTCTCTGAATTCAAGTTTTTTTGTTATTTCTGACTTTGTGTGTTACACAATCATACCTAAACACCCCAGTGATAGTTGCCCTTGTGCTGCCCCTAAGAGGGGCAGATTGATGTGATGTGATGTGATGTGATGTGATGTGATAAGGCATAATAAGAGTGATGATGGACCAGCAGAGATTGGTAGAGACTTGAACTTACCTTCCTTGACCATCTTTACCATCCTCAATACTTACAGGTAAATAACAGTCTCCATTTATGCTTACACTGCTTGGTTTATATGTCTGCTTTATTTTCTTGTGTGACAGTTTACACAACAGATATATATCAAGGGTGGCCCTTGGGCCGGCCATCCTCATTACACGAGGGGCAACCATTATTGTATGTGAATAATATAAGCTGCTGCCAGAAAACCCAAAGTAGGCAGTTTGCAGTTCCTCTGTCCATTTCTTTCTTTTTGTGAGATAAGAAAAAGTTTTCTTTTATAAAAAGTTTACCTAAGGTGTCTCATTCCCACGAGTCTAACATTTAAAGTATTACTCAAACAAATCTTGAATGCACTAGTTTTGGGTTGTGTTGTATTATTCTGATGAGCATTATTAGTTACAGTGTAACATGAATGTCTTTTATTTTTAACCCAAATACTGATCATTGACAGTGTTAATGTTTCCTTCACTTCACCTATATTAATATTAATTGTTTCTTTTATAGATGGAACAAGAGACTGGACAGTGCGCAACTATTCTACTTTAACAAACGCTCAGTATCCCAAATCACAACTTAAAACTCGTATAAACAAAAAGCCTACGGTGGACATCATTCGAGGTGAGTGTATTTTAGAGAAACTTTTGAGATAGAATAAAGATGAATTATAAAATTTGAGAAGTTTTGTAGTGAGCTGATTATTGTGACTGCTGGTGTGTGGGTTATAGTTATTAAGATTTATTTATGCTAACAATTTTTATCAACAGTTGCAGATGAGAGTATCAGGGAGGGAAGAGCTCGTATCACCCGTATCAATCAGCACTCTTTCAACCAGACTCTAGGTAACCTCCCAAAAGCTCCAGTAGAAACAACAGGAACTGCCAAAGTCTCTCACTCTGTGGAAGAAAGTGCTCTCTCTGAAAGCTTACTTGAATTTAATGAACAAATTTCAAATGAAAAAATTAGGAATTTAATAAATTCACATGTAGAAAACAGCTGGACTAGTTACCCAAATATAAATGAAGAAGTGAGATGGGGCAGAGGCATGACTCACACCTATGATGCTAGTTTCATTGTAAATGATGTTAGTGACAGTGCAGAAATATTTGAAGGAAATCCCAGTAACATTAATTTTGCTGAGGAACTTTTTAGGAATGTTGCTCCAGCAGAGAAAAGAGAATCATTGGATAAGAGTGATAGTGATTTGTCGCTTTTGTCTTCACCGCTCTCTGGCTTTGCTCATGTAGAAAGCGTTCCCCTTCCAGAGACTACTAGTGATGCATCTGTTGGTGTGAGTCAGAGTTCACAACAAAAAGATGACAATAGTACCAATGCAAAATCGAAAAAGAAAGTTGTATCCTCCAAAAAGAAAACCAAAGCTGCACCCACACCACAGAAAACCAAAAGTGCTTCTAATAAGTTAAAAGTAGTTAAGGGTGCTACCTCCACCTTAAAATCAAAACAAAAGCACCCAACAGTGAAGCAGCTTAGTGTTGAGCAGCCATTGGTGGAGGATAGCTTGAGTTGGGAAACAACTATTGGTGAGATTTCTACCCAGGTCTTAGAGGAGGAGAGTATAAAAACCCATGCAGCTGCCTCCAAAAAGTCACCAAAGTTAACAAAGAAACAAAAGAAATTGCAGCGGGAGGATGAAAACAAGAAACATCTTAAAGAAGTCAGAAGAAGAGGGCGGGAAGCAAGTTTTAATCAGTCACTTGCTGCTTACATTAGTGTGTGTGTAAGTATGTTAACATTATCTAAATATGTAGGTGCAGTATTACATTATGTATTGTATGTGTTTATATATTTACAGTGAGATGTAAATCTTCTCATGCAATTGTTGAGTGCTTAGTCATACCCAACTTACATTACTGTACTGTACTGCCGGGTATGAACCTGTAGTCTTCCAGAGTAAGACATCTGTAAAAGAAGAGGATGTGCATATAACACATACTGTACCTGTGTGTGGGTAAGAAGGGGATGATATTTGCATATTTATAAATATTCCAAGAGATTTTGTCTCCAGTTCAAGTTTTTGCTGTTGATATTTGCATATGATTTTTCTGCAGGTGAACATGGGTATGCTGAATAGAGCCACTCACACACTTCTGTACTATCGCCAGTGTGCCAAACACACTACCAATAGCCACGCTAGCCAGAGGATCTCCACTGTGCAACCTTACAATTTTGTGCTTCAGGGCCATGCAGAAAAGGTACAGTGCTCAGTGACTGCTTATTCTAGAAGTTATCAGAGCCCAGATTTCACCCTGATGAGGCTCCAATATTTTGTGATGTCCTCTAGTAATTGTCATGAAGATATATTACTTAAATTTAAAAATCTTTATTGTAGTCTGTCAAAAATATTTCTGTGATTATTTTTTAAAAATACTAAATGTTATTGACTTGTAAGTGTTTTGGGGTCACCTGAAGATTAAGTACCATGATGCAATCTGTGGGGGGTTAGGTTATGATTATAGTGACTTGTTAATCTTCAGATGAAATAAGCTGGGGGAGGGCAAATATTTTATGTGATCTGTGCTTTGCAAGGTTTGATTTTTTTTTATATTCTTTTTAAGTTCTAGATTGCTTTATAATGAAATAGTACAGCATTTTGAATGTTTTCTGTTTGAGGTAAAGATGTCTGGATGTGATTTTTACTTTACATGTCCCTATCCTAATCATATAATTTATTCATATCTACAACACTTCCCTCCACTAACATTAAAATTTTATCCTCCCAGATGCAGTGCATTCGGATAATATGTACAATACAGTACTGTGTTTTTATAAAGCAGTTACCAGAGGTTTCAGTAAAGTTTGACAAGTGAAGAGCTGTATTGTAATTTACATGAGTTTTATAAGGTTTTTGTCCAAGCATACTGTACTGAACTTGTACTTTTCATCCGGTGTATACTATAGTACTGTATATACAGTAGTTACTGTACTGTGGTTCCATTGCTGACTGAAGAAGTGGTACCAGTACTGTACCTTAATTTCTTTTCAGTTAACTTTCTTAGGGTACTGGTATACAGCATTGTCTTCTCATATTTATGACTACTGTTCATGCCTTGGTATACAGTACTGATTATGCATGGGAATCATCTCATGAGAGGCCACTAGTCAAACAGAGTTTATATTTACAATGTCTAGACATACTTTACTGTATGTTGTTGGCTAAGTAACTTGTTTTTCTGCTGATAATTGTTCATAATGTTTGCTACTTACAGGGTAACTTCAGAAAAATGGAAGAGCTTTTAAAGTGCCTTTTTGAGGATCACATCACACCTGATGAAACTACGTATGCAATGTTACTCAACTGTCTTGGGCGACAACCAGAGTCTCCAGACAACACCAAGAGTATAGAAGGATGCTTGAATACCATGAAAAAAGCAGTGAGTAATTATTTCAAAATATTGTGCACAGTATATATACCATTTGATTCCACAGCTGGAGAGCATTAGCAAGAAGGGTAAAAAGAAAGCATTTGCCAATATGTGCCAATTACATAACTTAAAAATACTGAATATTATTGGTGTTTGATTTTGATATTAGTATTACTGTATTGTAATATTTATTCTGACAAAAGTCCATGCTTAAGATGTTACAGAGAGAAAATCATCTCAATTTATCCAAAAGTTTTCTGCTTATTGCTGGAATCATACTTAATGTTGGAAGGCAGTAGGAGTAAGTGAACATAATTATCTTTGCCTTTCAACCAATCTTGATCAAAGGTTAAGTCAGAAAAGTCTGTATCATCCTCTTCTTCTTGTCTTCCCTGTCTTATAATTGTTATTCTTGAAGTACTGTACTGTAGTACATAATATATAGTTACTGATGGTATGTGTAAGGTGGAGATTTGGTAGAGATCGTTGTCATAATGGGGATCACCTTTTGACTTAGATACTGAATTGGTTAAACCCATGTGATGTATCTTAAGTCCTGTGGCTGTTGACTTACTTCAGCAGATAGTCACAGCTGGGTTGCTTGATGAGAGATGATGTAAATTCCATGGCCATGAATACAGTTCACTGCCCAAGCAGTTACTGTATTGTGGCAGTAATAAATTAAATTCAGTTTGATATGGATTTTACCTTTACACATAAAGTACTTCAGGAGTCATTTATGTGAATTTTAATTTTTAGTATGTAAGTTGTTACTTGGAAGTTATAAGCTGACAACTTTATGGCTGGTTTGTTTGAAGATTTCATTTTTTTCCTTCATTTGCAGGGCATTGATGTTCAGACTCTATTTACAAATGTTGATTTTGTAAGCAATGGATTTGAATGTGCCTTAAAGGCAGTTCGTCGCGTATTACCATCATTTGAGCTACACCAAGAGATGCCTCCTACTGTCTTCAGTTGTAATCTTGTCAACAAATTGAATAAAAGTCTGCATTCAACCAAGGTACAGAATAATAATTACAGTATTTTTTTCTTTGGTTTTATTTGAAAAATAAAAGTTCACTCATTACTGACTGAGGCATGGTTTTTAACCATTTAAGAATCTTAGGAAAGTATATCCTTCCCCTGAATGGGAAATAGGCAGATGACATGTATATCTTGAGTCAAATAATGAACTGTCCTCCACTATTGAGTTGCTTAAAGGATTGTGGTATGATAACTTGGTGCCATCAAAGAAAATTAGTATTGAACACCTCACCACCACCCCTTTGAGTCTACAAACAATCAGAGCTTATGCTTAGCTTTTGAAAACTGTAATTAAGTTGAGACAACTGTCTTATGTAAAGGAATCAGATTATTAACCAATATGACTTAGTTCTCCATGGAAGCATTGTCATGAGAGAAGTACTTAAAGTGACTTGTGACTTGATCTCTTTTTACAGTCACTGATTAGCCCAAATTTTGTAAAGACATTTTTATTCAGAACAACAGCTTGGTAAAATAAATTGTAAAGTGAGAGGCTTACATCTGGAGTTTTAAACACCCTCTTCCATTGAAGAGGGGCGTTGTGTTTCAACCCAAGCTTAAAAAAAAAAGAGTCCTGAATGACACCTCACTACAGTGCTTGACGGAGAGGAGTTAATTTTTTCTGCCACACCACCCCGTCAAGTACTGTAGTGTGGTGTCCTTCACGACTCCTTTTTTTTTTTAAACTTGGATTGAAGCACGACGACCCTCATCAATGGAAGAAGGTGTTTAAGACTTTGGCAATTAGTGTGAGACTGAGCTGCGTGGAGATGGAAAATCTTTCAAAGTCAAAACCAAGTATATACATGTCAGGAGCCAATTTGAGCATTGTAACTGAACGTTATACCAAGTATTTACAGCATAATCTATAATATGCAGGTATCATCACCAGCCCATGGTGTGGTTACCCTGGAGGAGCTTGCTGAGTGGGCAGAGGAACAGTTTAACATGGAAGTGAAGAGTGAATTGGTCATCAATAGTATTGAAAAGAAAGAAGAGTCTGAGAATGCTCACCACTATGTAAGTATTAAAGTAACTATAGTCTTCTGTGATGCCTAGTGTGAAATGTTGTTGTAGTGTTCAAACAATTTGTAAATGGTATGTAAAAAATATTTATGAGTGTTGTACAGTGTTAGGATTAATGACCTCATCCACCCCATGGACATGGGAATTGAATTTTGAACAAAAGTAAGTTACGTGTTTGACTCTGGAGAGATACTAGTGGCTGACGTATTTGAGAAAGAGTTTTGGCGAGATTTAACACAGAGGTTAACCGAGATGGTTTGTGGTTGTGGAGGCATTGGTGACTAATAAGGTCTCCAGGTGCAGGGGTTTGAATATGGAGGGGAGGAGAATCATGGTAGGCCAACATACACATTGGGAGATGAAAGTCACTGTGCTTGTGAAAAGATATGTGTTATTGATGAGAATCATTTTTATTGTTTTGTTTTTCATTATTGGGATGGTCCTTAAGACTTAATGAGCCATTGGCTGTATTTATATATTTTATTGGTTAGAAAGAGCCAGGTAGATATAAGGCACATGACAGTTGGTGGTTATTGAAGTATTATATTTTTGTTTTATAGAGGAAGATGCTCGAGTTATGGGAAGGAAGATGGCGAAAAGTACTGCACAATTCTTTTGTAACTCAGCTGAATGTATTGAAAAAATCATTCTTCTCAAATCGACTAGATAAGCGGATGACGCTGTACCCATACTTGGTAACCCTGCCACCCGAGGAGTTTGTCAACATTATGATGCAGGTACAGTACAGTATCCTCTCTTGTACAGTACTTACTAGGCTTTCAAGATACCCATCCCATCAGTTTATTATATTGTCTGAGACCAGTATCTTCCTTCCATTCATGGTAGTGTACAGTATGTACTCTTTGCACCTTTAAGATTCATACCTAAGTATTTCATCTTACATTTAACTGGATACTCTGCTGCCTCCCTTGTGAATTATTTATTACTGTTTTCTTATGACTTTGGCTTACACTTAAGGTTTTCTCTCTTTATTTTTGTAATTACTTTTGATTTTCAACCTGTTTGGTCATATTGTGTAAATATTACAGCTATACATACAGTATTGTGGTTTACAAGTGGACGTGCTCGTTGCAGTATCGCACTACATTTGTTTTATAATGAAGGACATGCATATAGCAATACTACTACATAATTCTGATTAATAATGAAGGATTTTTGTTTCAGGAAATATACAGATTAGCCCGTGGGTCCGACACCTTCTCTCTCACAAGATATACACTGTACCGCCGTCTTGGGGAATTGGTATATAACCGCTACTTAGTGCAGTACAAGAAAGATGCTGGGGTGCTGGACAAGCTCAAGAATGTTTACCAAGAATACCTTTCTTGGTATCTTGACAATGACAGGAAAGGTTAGTTTTGATTTAGCTACCTGTACCCATTACTATACTGTGCAGTACATAAAGAAAAATCTAACACACAGCATTTTCGTCTGTCACTGATAAAATAACTGTATGGCGCCTCTTTCTTTTTCATTCTTACTCAATATATATACCCAATTTCCTCAAAAAAAATTCTATATATATATATATATATATATATATATATATATATATATATATATATATATATATATATATATATATATATATATATATATATATATATATATATATATATATATATATATATATAAGATAAGAAGGGTTCCCCATAATATATATATTATATATATATATATATATATATATATATATATATATATATATATATATATATATATATATATATATATATATATATATATATATATATACTGTACTTCATTTTTAGTCCATATAACACGTGGACTTGAACATATAATCAACGACCTCACCAGCCAGGACTCGAACCCTCGACCTACTGCGTGTGACCAGGGAACGCTACCGACCATCCCACAAGGACACTAAAAGCAATCCTAGACTATGTTATATTTCACATGTGTACAATATTACTTAAATGGTGATAAATACAATACAATAGTATTTATTAAGTGGTGCTAAATACACTACAATAGTTATTATTACGTGGTGATAAATGCACTACAATATTACTTAAGTGGTGCTAAATACACTACAATAGTATTTATTAAGTGGTGATAAATACACTACTGTTCTGTATTAAATTTACTAAGGGTTGAACAGAGACGTTGTGCTAAGCCAATAAGCTGTTTGTCCTTTGTAAACAAATGGCTCAGTTCAGTGTGGGATTATTTTCTGAGGAAAGCTGATTCTTTTAGGATAGTATTTCATCAGCCTGGCACCAAATTATATGAGAATTATAATGAAAATGCATAAAGAAGTGTTACAGGAATCTTTGGGGTTGGGAGCCACCCACCTGTGCTACCTCCCCTCCCCTCTGCCAGCTGCTCCCAGATAAACACTCGTCTTCCACATACAATATATTCCTACATTTATTTGTTCTTATTTTTATCTTTATAGGACTGTACAGTATTCAGTTTTCTCTTTATTCATAAGACAAATTCTGCGGTTGCTTACATATAACACTTTACAGTGTTATAGAAGTTGTAGAAGTGCAGTAATAACATAACAACAACTGATTTTTTTTAAATGGTTTGGATAAGCAGTGTTAATCCCCCCCCCCCCATATTTTCGCTTTTTTCGGACGGGTCTGCCCCAATTAGTCTGATTTAACGAGCTTTGACTGTATATATGCTGTATTTTATTTAGCACACAGGCTAAATTTTAAATTAGCTCCAGAGTGAAGGTTTATAAACATGTTTGTTTTACTCTTCAACAGATGGTGTGACGTATGTTCCTCGTGTACGATGGCAAGAATTAGCAGATTCTCGGGGAGGTGGTCCAAATGTAGAACATGGCCCAGTTGATTGGCCCAACACAGTATTGGTGTCTCTTGGCAAATTCATGTATTCAATGATCTTCCTCAAAGTCTTGGTGTGGAACCCTCTTCATTCTGAGAAGTATGATTATTTTCACATAGGAAGCACTCTGGGCAAGAACAACACAAGCAACAAAGTGTCTGAGCATGACTTTATTATATCATTATAACTGTACAGTACTTATTTATTAATTGCTAAACTTACCCATTTTTTCTGTCATTTTATTTTTGTTGTTCGCTATACTTGCCCTGAATACTTCATACTGTTTGTTATTGAATAAGTCGAGGATCATTTCCTCTGGCTTATAGTTGGGGTTTGTATTAGAGATTTTATATGATGGACATTCTTAACTTCTAAATTCTCCATGAAATTAATGTTCTTATGTGTATTCAATGACTTTCCAGACATGCTTATCCAGCCCTGTATGAGGTTGAGAGAGCAAAAGGCTATCGTGTGGTGGATGAGATAAAACCATCACCGTCCCTGGTGGAGTTGTATCAAAAAGCTGCTAAGCCAACACTCACCTTTGAATCTGTAGTATCACCTATGGTGTGTCCACCGATTCCCTGGGTCTCCACCAAATTGGGAGGTTATCTGCTCAATAATGCCAAAATTGTTAGGTAAGATTTTTAATTGCTGAGTAAATGTATTGTATTGGTATGGCCAATTTGCATAGTCGATAATTATACAGGTTAAACCCTCAGTATTCTTAGGGTCTAGCCTATATTCTTTCTTTTTTTAATTAGTTTTTAGAAATATTTATTTGTTTATTAATTAATTTATTTATTTATTTATTTAAATATTTATTATATTTTTAGCTAATGGTACAATCCCCACTCCCCTTGCAGCTTAATGGCTCATACATAATGTTAGAATAATATACTGTATGTGGTGTTTACACTTGATTCTACTCTATAGAATGGTCATTATTATCTGTTGCTTCATAAGTTTGGTGTCATTTGTCTTGATATACATAATAATTAGTGAAAAGAGAAGAAGTAGTGGTGAACGTGTTCTCTGAAAACGTGAATTTGTTTGTGACTTCGACGACAAGTATCCTTTATTTCAACTTTTTTCCACTCATATCTTTAATGTTTTCAAACAATATTATCGTTACATACTGTACATTCAATTTGGTATTAAAGTGATCCAGAACGGAGTACATACAGGGGATCCTTAACAGTTATATATGGATTTAGTTGGAAGATATTAATAGTAATCAAACATTATGAGTTGTAAGGGGTGCTGGAGCTTCTTAGACTAGTAGAGCCAGCTTAAAAAAACAAAATGACGATACACATAATGCATCCAGGAGGAGATTGCAGGAATTTCCCATTTACTGTAGTACTGTATTGTAATTATACAATTTATATCATAACATTTTGTTTGTTTGTATTCACTTGCAACTTGGCCTATATTAGTGTGTTTATATGTCTCTGCCTTGGGATATGATTATAAATATAGTTAAGCTTTACTTCAGGAACTACAAGTTCTGATTATTTCAGAAGAGTTAACAAAGTACAGTACAGTACAGTGTTATGGTCCCCTTTTGTGAGTTGGTGCTTTACACACTCGATGTCAATGATAAGTGTCCCATTCATGGTGGTTGTTGCCTACTCAAACACTTGTGGCGAGATGCTGGATTAAATTCTGACAAAGTTTGAAGTTTCTTTAAAATAATCTTATCCCAGGTATTTTAGCTGAGGTACTTTGTTTCAAGGCTTGGAAGTCAGAGATTTGTCTTAATAATTTATTATGTTTGGTAAAGACAATTCAGTCTTATATAAGGTAAACAGATAACAGGAAGTTTAGATAATTAGTTGATATTGGACAATATGAACAGATTTTTGGTTTTAATGTCATATAAAAATTATTGTACAGTATTGTATTATCATCTGATCCCAGCTCCCATTTAAATGGAATTTCAGGATTATTCCCTCATTACTGTTGACTCTTATATTGCTACTACTGTAGTTATATAACATAAAAGTAAAGGTACTATGCTTTTTGGTTTGATGATTATTTATGATAAGGTTTTTAATCTTAAAGTTTTGCATTAGAAGTAATGATGTTCAACCAAACATATTTTCAGTCTGAACATAACAGTTTAAAATTTTTGTGACTTCCAGTTACTGTAAGATCTCCCATTACTGCAGGTTACCATATAGTGCCCACCAGCAGAAGCATCGGATGGAGGAATGTGGCAAACAACAGCTTTACCCTGTCATGGATTCTCTTAACCAGCTGAGCACCATCCCATGGACAGTCAACCAGCCCATCCTGGATATTATTATTGAGGTAACTAGTTTATATTTGAGAGTGAGAAGTGGGTAAGTTTTATAGTCACTATCGGCAGATCATTGCCAAACTATGGAAACAAATTAGTGCAAATTTATTAAATGATACAAAAAAGATTAAAATTGGTTTTCCCATAGTACAGTATCTGCTCTGAAATACTGTTCAGGCAAACACATCTGAGGGCATCAAATTTTATAGGCAGAATCCAAACTCTCCATGGGGTTGGTACAACAAGGAAGGCAAATTTACCTTTGTTGTAATTATGTTGTAAGAGATTTTGTTAGCTGACAATGGAAGTTGGGTGGAACTGGCATGTGGGGCTACAGTCCCACTGTGTGTCACCTTTGCCAGATATCAATTTTTCAATACAGTAGCTCAGTGTATTGAGTCTGGCTTGGGGTTATTACTCAAAAATGGAACTTCTTTGTATTATTTGGAGTAGAGGTACAGTTCTTTTTATTTAAGGTTGTTTATATTCATATTATATAAAAGGAAATTATTGTCTTTGTCAGCTGTTCAATAACAAAGGGTGTGAGGAGCTGGACATTCCACAGCCGCCTTCTGAATGCCCACAGCCCAAGAAAGTCCATCCTGGTATGAGCAAATCTGAAATTTACAAAATCCGCCGTCAACGCCTTGAATACGAGCAAAAGAAGAATGAGATGCACTCACTGTGGTGTGACGCACTCTACAAACTTTCTCTTGCGAATCATGTATGTATATTCAGTTTCTGGGCCATTCTGATTTTTGGGGGTTTATACTATACATTATGTATACTGTATATATCCTGTATGTCATGTTTATTTTGAATGCTACATTAAAAGAAGTCATTAACTCTGGCATAAATGCGTCTTGACAGTTTCGTGACCGAGTGTTTTGGTTTCCTCACAACATGGACTTCCGAGGTCGTGTGTATCCGTGTCCACCTCACCTCAACCATCTGAGTTCGGATGTTTTCCGTTCAGTCTTACAGTTTGCCCGAGGAGAGAAGCTGGGCCCAGAAGGTCTACGGTGGCTAAAGGTAAGGACTGCTCTACATTTTGTATTGATTACAGTTAAATTCTGTAAATATCAATAATTTTTGGAGATGGTCAGTGACTAAAGTGGCTACCCTATTTGTCTTTATGACAACAGTGTGTTAAGAATATACTGTATACTGCATATAAGTAGATAACAAATAGATTGAAATGTGTTATTAAGGCTTAATTACTGGTCAATTCCTTATTATGTAACTTAACACATGTCTAAGCAGAGTGTACACATTGCAAATTTCACTCCATTTTGGGGTCACATTTCTTCATATATTATTAAAGGGTCACATGAATTCATAATAGTATAGTACAACAAGAAAATGGTAAAATAAAACAAACGTAATGAGAATAAATGTTTATTTATCCAAACTTTATGCTATGAGATGACCCGTTGAAGTATGCAGCATCCTGGGTGACAGGATATACCCGGTAGATAAAGAATATTAGTGTCTTGGCAGGATAAGTAACATATAGTTAATACACTGTGGAACTTTTTTCAGTTACACCTGATTAACCTAACTGGTTTTGTGAAGAGAGAGTCTGTGGTAGACCGACTAAAATATTGTGAAGAGGTCATGGACGATATCTTTGACTCAGCTGATGAGCCTATTACTGGCAAGCGATGGTGGACCAAGAGTGATGAACCCTGGCAGACATTAGCAGCATGCAAGGAGGTTAGTTGGTTAACCTTGGTAGTGACATTTGTTTTATGGACAGTACAATTTGTAATTGAGATCATACCAACAAATCACGAATATAGTAAAATATTTTTTGTTTATATATACTGTACTGTACTGTTCTTTTTCTCAGTTGGCAGCAGCCATCCGAAGTGGTAACCCAGAAGAGTATGTGTCTCATCTTCCAATTCATCAGGATGGTTCATGTAATGGTCTACAGCATTATGCTGCTCTAGGACGTGATAAGATTGGAGCTATATCTGTTAACTTGGCACCTAGCAAAGTACCTCAAGTTAGTTGATTTGTGAATGGTTATTTTAAATATTGTCGTTTTTGTCTAATATACTGTAAAAAAAAATTCATGCATAATCAAAATTGTAAATTGATATGCTTCTACAAGGGGTGTCCATTGTTAGTCAGGGTTACAGCCTAAAGTATTAAGACAAATAGTGAATCACCTATTATGAAACTTTATCCCGTAAAAATTATTTGAAAAAAGGGGGTCATGTTCCTATTCGTAATTATGTGGGGTTAGGTTCTGAACCACCTCACAAAATTGGTAAAATTTTACCTACAATAAAGATAGGCATACTACACCTGGGCCTTCATAATTACTTTACCTTGGATCCTGTTGTTGCTGTGCTCACTGGATCTGGTGTTTGTTGGGGCATTTCTTCTCAGCTGGAGTATTAGTTGCTTTTTTGCTGCTTTGAATCCAGACATTGACTTTTCATCCCTGGCATTCAAGGTCTTTTCTGGCATTTTCTTTTTGAAAAGACTTGTTTCACCTCATTACCTGGAAATCTCTCATTCCCAGAAGTGCTCTGCGCCAATTGTTCTGGCTAACGGAGATATCTCATTTATAAAAAGCCCTTTGCTACCACTTTCATCAATTACTAACACTGTTTTCTACTGTGGTATCCACCAGTAACATTTCGTACTATATTTTGTTAGACATCCATTGGTTTCTGAAGAAGAAAAATTAAAGTTTTCATGATAAGGCTAGAGGAGAATGGCAGCCATATGGAAATTAGCTTCCTGTGGGTTTTGTTCAGCTATTCCAGGAACTAATCAGCCAGGCTCCACCCAAACAATTTGGTATCACTTTTGAGCTGCTGAGATTAAAATGGCCAGTTTGGAGATATTAAAAAATGTGGAGATGTGGATAATCAATACATTACCAGTACTCCCTGTACTGTGCTTTTTTTAATATAATTATATAATGAATATATTGGATGTTTGGGGGTCACTCACTTTATGAACTTCCACAGGATGTCTACTCAGCTGTGGCAGCATTAGTAGAAGATGAAAGAATTAAAGATGCCAATGCTGGGCAGGAGATTGCCCAAGTGCTAGAGGGGCACGTGAAGCGTAAGGTTATAAAGCAGACGGTGATGACCACAGTGTATGGTGTAACAAGATATGGTGCTCGTCTTCAGATAGAGAAGCAGCTAAAAGGTATGTAATGTACAGTACTGTATAGTATTTGCTGTGGTAATATTTTCCTGACTAGTATATACCTTACCTCTAAGTAGAGTAGTAAGTAGGGTACAGGTATTTATGGCATGGAGAGTCATTCAAAATTCACTTGGAACACAAAGTTGACTATCGCCCATTTTTTTAAACATCCGAGGAAGTAATTCCAAAGAGGAATCCCGAACATCAGGTTAGTTTAAAGTGACCCAAGAAATGGATTCATCAAAGTTGTTATTTGAGTTTGACAAAAATTCATTTGTCGGGTTACTTAAAAGTAACCCAAAGTTCAGGACTCTTCTTTGGATTGCTACACCGAATGTTTAAAAAAATGGCATATACCCTGTAAGTCTGTGCAAATTTAAAAATTTATCCTTACTGAACTGTAGGTCATATTTCCACAATGTTGTGGTATAGTACGGGGTATATTACTTTCAGCCTTGGATGACTTCCCTCAAGAGCACCGGTGGGCTGCCTCTCATTACCTGGTCCACAAGACCTTCCTGTGCCTGGAGAAGATGTTTACAGCAACTAAGGAAATTCAGAATTGGTTTACTGACTGTGCTAAGATAGTATCAGAGGTACTGTACTGTCACTAGAGATGCTGCTATGTTTGTGTGTTGCCTTTTTTATGGAATTTTTTTGTAATTTATGTAGAGTATATATTGCACTGTGCACTTTGTTTTGTTTTCTCTTTGTGAAGCTTCATGAAAATTATCTACCCATCCCCAGTAAATGAGAATTTCATAAATATGATGAAGATACATTTGCCCAATGAATGTAATTTCTGACAATAAGATTTGCTTCTGTTGTACTTTTTCAAGTTAAAATGTTTTGGGCAACATGTTTAATTTCCATTGTACTTTGTGTGTGTTCGTGTACGTGATATTAATTTAATATAATAAGTAAGAATTATTGGTAATGGTAGACGAATACTTAATTTGATTACTGTGGCCTTACACTGGAATGGACAGTGAAGTTAAATCTTAGGTGATGTGAAGAATTTATTCCCAATCCAGAGTGGAGGATTGGGATCCTTGTGCATACAGCAATGAATAAGTACACTTTTGGAGTGGGTGTGCTAATGAAACCAATAGTAAGGATACTGTACTGGAATATAATACATAGTGTATTTACCTGTATTTATTTATAAATTTACATATGTTTGAGTACTTGACCACACCAAGCTGCTTATTCTTCTAACTGAATATCCTTTTGTCAAAATTTCAGACTCGCGGTGAAAACCTTGAATATGTGACACCCTTGGGTTTACCGGTGGTCCAGCCATACAGTAAATTCAAGGGAGACCAAGTGTCTATAACCAAACTGCCAGCATCTTTTTGTATGGATTCCTTTATGTAAGTAAATGATAAGGGGTATATCTGCATACTGTAAATCAGCAAGGAGAAGACAGAGACCAGGATAAATCACTGCAATTAAAAGCTTGGTCCCTAGAAAGATGCAAAATCTGGGAAAATTAGTATAGATGGTCAAAAAAATTAGGAATAGAGTCATGGTCTCCAACCCAGAGGCAAGAGGATGACACCTCGGGTGATTGGCTGAGTTGATAAATAATTTAGTATACTACAGTATTGTGAAGGATGTAATTTCAAAATTATTTTTATCTGGATCATAATGTGAAGTAGGAAGTCACTGGATTGAAATAAATCGTATTTTCTCTTCAAACAGGAAACCAAATGTAATGAAACAGAAGAATGCATTCCCTCCTAATTTCATCCATTCCCTGGATTCCACACACATGATGCTAACTTCTCTCAACTGCCAGAAAGCTGGCATCACTTTTGTATCGGTGCATGATTGCTTCTGGACCCACGCATCCTCTGTTGACACCATGAGCAAGGTATGAGTCTTATTTTAATATGTTTATTGATTTTTAACTAATTGTGTAATCAATACAATGTGTGAAAACAAAATACAAAGGTGTGAAACTCATTTTTCCATTCAATAACTAGCCATCATCATAATAATCAACAATTGATGGCCATTTTCCATATTTGCTTGGGTTAGTTTGAATTACCTTAGAGTAGCGCTCTGTTGTGTGGTCACCTGTAGCCTCTCTCATTGGGTTTTTTTAACTTTGATGTCATTTCTTACAATCTCTTCCCATGTTATTCTTGGCCTAACTTTGACTCTCCTCACCTCCACATTGAAATCTATACACAGTTGCCCTAATTGGTGTCCTCTATTCTCTCCACATGCCCAAACAATTACAACCATATTATCTCTGAACAGGGTTTCTGATCTTTCAGCGTCACATTGCACATCCACCTCACCATTCTTATTTCAGCTTGTTCAAGTCTGTGTGTGTTATCCTCTTTAACTGCCCATGTTTCACTGACATACAATATAATATTTATCATGCCAGTTGCATCCATCTTTCCTATAATTTTTCCAATCACTTCTGATCCTTGCCACTGAGCTAATTTTGGCACCACAACTAGCATTGATCATATCACCTAGGAAGCAAAACTCATATATACAATCCAGAGATATATCCTCAGTGTTGAATTTCCCCAGTCTTGCTTAAAGCCACATGAATACCTGTACATACAGCACACTTAAAGTCAGCAACATCCTGCAGCCTGCCATCTACACTATTGCACCTTGGTGTATCCACCGTGCATACTTGCTACACATTATTGAGTTGCTGCCAACACCTTCCATATAGACAGCACATGACCACTTTCCACTTTCTACCACCAGTCCCTCATCCACACCACTTTTGTTTTTGCCTTATTTACTCTTAAACCCTTTGACTGTATTCCATCCTTCCATCTCTTAAATTTCTCATCTGTCTCCTCATTACTATCTGCTGTCAGTGCTAAATTGTCAACATACTGTACAACAACTCCCTGGTCAGACCTAAAACTCCTTGATAATAGTGTTTTTAGTTTCATAATAAAACTGATGGGAGCTCAAGACACACTCTTGATGAACTCCTACTTTCTCCTTATATTGTCCTTACCCTTTACTCTCACAGTGGTTATCCTCAACACCTAACTTTCCTTTGATCATCCACAACTGTGTACCCAAGAAATTGGTGGCTGGAAACTAACCCAGAAGCAAAATTCATGATTTAGTTTCCAACCATCAATATCAAGGGCTCCCTGGGTCTCTTAACCCAAAGGCTTGGTACACTTATTAGTTGCCAAGATGAAAACTTAGTCATAGATGGGTACTTATTTTTATTTATTAATATATTTTATTTTTATACCAGATTTGTCGGCAGCAATTTGTTGCCTTGCATAAGGAGCCCATCCTTGAGGATCTCTCCAAATTCTTGCAAAAGACATTTGGTTTATCACACAGGTGAGTACACTAAGACAGGCCTTTTATTTACTGTACTGGATGAGTGTTAGAACATATGTACCCTATATTTGATATCTTGGGTATATGGGTGGTATTAAGTACAGGGAGTCCTCATTGTTCAGTGTGCCTATGTTTGTCATTTAAAATAATACAGGTAATTAAATTAAGAAGTAATCTTTAAAATATATGTACAGTTTGTCCAAAGACAAGATAATTGCATGATTCAGTAATTCTGTCCAGTGTACAATAGTTCTTTGTGGCTATATCCAATTTGTTGCCTGGTCATTAAATATTACGGACAAATAAAATTCTACTACATCCAATTAGTGTATTTTATATTGCAATTATTTATACAATATTTACAAATATCTTCATTAAAAAAGGCAAAGAAAAATATCACAAAAGATTTAAATTGTTTCACACAACTTTGCTGAATTGAGCATTTTCTTATTTACAATTTATTTATTTATTTTTTTCCCGCTCAGCTTGTGTTGTGTTGGTAGTAGCTATTTTATTTGTGTTAATGCCACCTATATTGTAAGTATGGCCTCTAAACACTCAGTAAGTGATAGTGCTACACCATGAAGCAAAGTTACTAAGAATTGCAACATGACACTGGAGCAAAAGATGAAAATCATAGCAGTTTGGGGCTGGTGAACATGCAGCCGATATTGCACATTATAATCTCTATCCCATCTACTACAGTAAGATCTGTAGTGAAATAGGCAGAAGTGTTCAAAAGTAATGTGAATGGATTATCTTGCTCCCTCTTTTCCTTCCACTGCTGATAATGTCAGAGCAGTCAGACGGTGCCAACAACACATATGTATCAGCTCTGAGACCATCACTGGTAGGTGTTACATAGGCCTATGAATTATTTCTAATGGTTATATTTATTAATTAAATCTATTAGTAAAAGTTAGTAGACACACTGCATTTCAGTCTAAGGGACACTGGCCTTAGCAACATAGCTTGGCTGGGAAGCTCCTTCGACTCCGTCCCTGGCAATTTTGCTATGTGCTGTGGACCCTCCAACCTCTCCACTCACTTGCCACACAGCTTTACAGCAGAAACCTGTTGATACTTTAAACTTTATACCTCATGATAATTATTTCCTTTATTATTTTTATTTTTTGCACATACCAGTACTATATGTAGGATTTTGTGTGCATGTAAAAAACAAAACAAAAACTGTACAGTACTTACATCTCCCCAAAATTACGAGTTGAAAAATGACCACAACATATAGCTCCCAAGTGGGGAACGGTGTCCGTTATACTGAGGGTTTACTATACAGAAATACCAGTACTGTACACGAATGCCTTTTGTAAGATATAAAAATAATAAGTTGGTCGTGGTCATCAGGATCACATCCCTGATGAACAATGTGGACTGCCTGTACTCTTATTTGTTTACTATGAGTTAGGTGGTGTGTTCTACAATATTTAAACTTCTACTACAATCTCATAGGCTTGTGTTACAATACTGTTTTCTGTCCTATCATCTTATCTCCAGTGTTAATATTTTTACAGTGACTTTGCCCATGATGGCTCAGCCCTGGACTCATCCAAGATGAAGCTCAACAACGTAGTGTGTCAGGTTCCCACAAAAGGAGAGTTTGATATAACAAGTGTCCATGATAGCATGTATTTCTTCTCTTAGTGTTATATCTTTTAACTAAAAGTTATCATCCAACATCATTTTCATGTTTTCTTGTGTGTTGTCAGGGATATCATAACTCCTGAAGGCCGTATGATTTCTTTAAATTCAAGTAAACATAAAGGCACATAATGGCTTGAATTTTTAGTTCTGTAATGCTTCATTTTATGATATTAAAATTAACAAAGAAACTATAAAAAATCTTAGCAAATAAAACTAAATTTATATTTATTGCTAATAGGTTGCTGGAGTAATTTGCTATATAAATAGTAGCAAAAAAATTATTCTTAATTTTTTAGAAGTCTATCCTAGATGGTATATGCCGGTGATTGTTGGACTTACTGCATAGTTCCTGTGTGAATTTTGAACAGCCAGTCAGAAAATAGCATTAGTAACTGGCAAACATATAATATAGTATGTTCTCAGGGTAAAAATCTAGGGTATTACAAACATTTCCAAACTAAGTTATAGAAAGTTTTGATGATTCCATTTCTGAAAGTTAAAGGTCAAGGATCAGCTATTTAAGATTTAAGCCTATAAAACCTACTTGTTTGTCTCATCGCTCCATTTTTGTTGTTTTTCTTACATAAAAGACTGTAAAGGATGAGTTCAGTCGTTTGTAAATCTTTTCAGGGGTAATCTCGTAGGGTGTGTCCTCTGTTCTTTATGCATTCAACCCCCCCCCCCCTGTGCAACAGTGTCTGTAGTTCAGTAGTGTTCCCTGATATCCTCTGTTTTTAACTTCATTTCCTACTCACCTAGGTCTCCTTTTCAACAGTGTTCCTGGCAGTTGTTAAGGTCATCATCATCATCATTTTTACATTTTAATACATTTCACATTGTGGTTATATTTAGCCACTTTGCTCTTTTGATAGCTATAGCACCATGCAGAATTCTTTTGTGTAAAACTTCCAAGTGTTGCTCTTGGGATGGGTTTCTGGCAGTACAGTACGGTATGAGCCATATGCTGTCACTGAGGTACATAAGAAAATTCTGCTTGTTTAAAATTTAATGCAGAGATAATTTTGTTTATATAAATGTATAAAATGTATATATTGTATGTAAATAGTTGTTAAAAGTTAAGCTATTGTTTGCAATAGCAAATAGAAAAAAAATTCAAAGTTAAATTATTTTCAATAATACACTTATATAAAAATAAAAAACCCTGAATTGTATTATGTCCATTGTTAGTGGTAGTGAAATTACTTTTTAATTTGGAAAACAATTTATATTCCCCTTTTTATACAGTGTGTGTGCAGTATATAGCGGCCCCCCAAAATTTGTGGGGGTTAGGTTCTCAAAATGTATGTATGTACAATATATATTTTTTTTTTCCATGTTAGAATAATAAATTTGTGAAGGAAGACTAGTAGAGGTTAGTTTATAATTTTGTAGAAAAGTTGCATTAAGTACAGTAATACACTGATGGTTGCCTCAGCCTTTAGTAAGTGGTGCTAAAAGCTTCCTTTGTGTTATGAAGTAAAGTAACTCTAGTCAAAGCAGGTGTTTGGTATTACAATATGTAAATATTTTGATATTTGTTTACAGAATGGGTTATATTTGTTCTACCAACATAAACTGAAAACTACCTTATTTTGTTTGCTCAACCTCTCTCTGTTGTTTGTGTATTAGATAGTGCTGGTGGTGTGGGAGGTATAGTTTGCAAATGGGGAGACTACTGAGAGATTCCTTCAAAGAATACACATACCCCCTTATAGCGCCCTTCATCCGGGACATATTTTTATATACTGTTCATGGTTTATATTTATATTAAAATAAAAAATCATGTGTGTAGGAACACTATACATGCAGCACTCTCCTGTTTTGTCAGAGCTGTACACTGACAAATGCATGGGTTATAGATTACATCTTTCAACAGTGGTTTGTGTCAAGTTTTTATCCTGAAGTATTAATTCAAGCAGCTGTTGGACTTTTATGTTAGGCCAAGGTCCTGTCACTCAAGGATTTTTGGAAGTCCTACAACATACTGAAGGCAATTAAAAACATCAGTGCTTCATGGAAGGAAGTCACCAGCAGCTGCATATGAACAGTGCAAGGTATGGCCAGAGGAGCTAGAAAAACTGAATGCTGTGGAAAAGAAGGAAGATAATGGAGGAAAAAAAAAAGCACCACCAAAGAACTTGAAGCCATCCCTGCTGTCCAAAGCCATTGCCAAGATTAATGAGGACCTTAATATGTTGTCAAACAATGACCCTTACTGGGAACACAACTGCATTGTCAGGGGATGTGTTCTGGTAGGCATCTTTTGCTACCAGGAAATGCTGCATGAGAAAAAATGGCAAGCAAGGCAGTCTACCTTAGCTGCCCACTTCAAATGGCCAATAGTTTGAGTATGAGCGACAACTTGGCCCATCCTCCCAGCAGTAGCTCCATCCATCTTGTTCTCACTATTGCCATGAAGGAGTGATGGCAGATGATGGTAAATATGTGCAAGCACCAACTGAATGAACTAGTGAGTACAGTGTGCATTTTATTTATTTTGTTCCTTTAATTTTTATTAAAAAATATTTTTTTTTTTTTATAAATTATTTCTATACATTTATCATGTTTGCAATATCATTATTAGTGCTACTTCTGATACCTCAATAAATCACTTGCATGTAAGAAATAGCACTGCTTGGAACACATCTCAATTTGAACAATGTTATAATCAGGGGCATATATCATGGGAGGGGGATGCATCTCCCACTACAGTTGAATTGGGGGATTTCCTGTATTATCAGCCTCCCTACAATTATATATATATATATATATATATATATATTCGTTATCATTTTTCTGTGTTGATGTTTAAATCATTCTGAGAGAGGGTAGTATGAGGTTAATGTTCAGTTTTAATTTTAAATTTAATCCTGACAGTGAGGTCAGTTAGAATAACTTCTTGAATGTCATCATAAGTCACATCCTCTGAAATGTGACAGCTAGTGACATCGGGGTCAACCCGCTTCCAGTCACAAGAGTTGACAAAAATTTTAAAGTTGGCACCATGGGTCAACCTGTTGGGTCATATATAATAGGGCAGTTCACAAAAATTTCAGATTGTAAAGTAAGAAACAACCAAACTATTTCTGTAAGAAGTATTATTCTTTCTAAAAAGATGAATTTTATGATTATGTTTACAGACATACAGTATTTGTATACCGTATATTACGGCATATAAGTTGACCTGGTGTATAAGATGACCTGAATTATTTCAACTGAAATGGTTGATCTAGGCCTTACCTGGTAAATAAGTCGATGCCCGAAACTGCAATTTGAAAGCTACATCCTCGGTGTCAGCTAAACTTACCAACATTTACGTTTTAATAGCACTCGCAAACAAGTTTTACCTAATTGTAGAATTTTCAAAATGTTAAAATACCTTTGGTATTAACTACAGTTTTCTTACAAATAAACATTACTGGAGCACACAAATGTGGTGTGAACAAATCACAACAACAAAGTTCCCACAACTGGAAAAATATTTAAGATACAGTACTGTACAAAAGGTGAGTAATGACAATTTACTCATAATGATAGTTTATTATTAAATATGAGCAAAGCATGTTGTACATTATATTGACAGTACTGTATATGGTAGTACTAGCAGTATATGGCAACAAGCACACAAACTCTTGGTACAGGATTACATGATTAAGAAAGGTTACATGATTTCACTTAAAACAATAAAATATAAAAGTTGATTAAACATAAAGTAAATATTGGATTCCTAATTTAAAACATTCAATTAGCAGTACGTTATATTATTAATGGTAGCACACTGCGTTGGCATCAAGCAAACAAAGTCTACAGTCTCTGTTAGTGGTATAAGTGTTGGCAACACTTGCTGCAGGCCAGCCAGCTGTTTACAACTTTACAAAACATTCGTGTAAATGTTTACAAAATCCAGGTGCATTACATGAACATACTGTAACGGCATTTTTTAACAATTTAACAACAAATATTACAAGTAACTGCCCTAGTAACGTTTGTTTGTAAGAAACCGTAGTTAACACCTAAAGATATTTTAATGTTTTGAAAGGTGTCGGTATGACTAGTGTAAAGACTGACCTTTGGCCGAGTTGAGTAACAGTTACCCTTCTGGAAAAATGCTACAATTAGGTAAAACTTGTTTTTTTGAGTGCGGGAAATTAAGTAACTGAGACCTACCAGTAAGGTAAAGTGATAATCTGATGCTAGTGGTGGAGCGTACTTAAAGGTTGACATTTTATACCTGTCATACGAGATGACCCCTAGTTTTGATAAAAAAAATTGGATCTTCAAAAGTCGACTTATAAGCCGCAATATACGGTATCTCCAGGTCTCGGAAGTCACCTCCCCCTTCAATCACAACAAATCTATGCCACTGCTTATAATGAACTCTTACAGCACTGTCTCACACAGCACTCTGTTTCCATGGAATGCAACCTGACCACTATGAAGAGTTTATTGGTCATCACTGTTGGTGTTAAGAGACCTAATGGGCGACTTTGCACTGATCAACCTCAACCTACTGCCTCCTGACATTAAAGTAAGTAAGGTGGTCTACCAACAAATCATTTAGGTTTTTGACTTACAGCTGGTTACCCAAACAAAGATGACTGTTCAAAGTGAATGATATCCCAAGTTTAGGCTTATATCATCTTAATAGTTATGGGGTGGTTGGATAAAGTCATATGAGATGATTAAAAATATAAACTACCCTATAGAAATTGAATGAATAACCATTAGTTATCATTCAGTCAATGAACATTGTTGGAAGTGTTTACACAATTGATGTTATATGTGTTCAAAGTGTTTAAGCTTCATATCCAAGTGATGGGTGAAGGAGTGATTTGGTGTATGTGAAAGATATATTGTACAGTATCTTGTCATGATGAGCAATGGTGAAGAAAAACATATAAATCAATATCAATTATATAATATACTTTAGTTCAAATTACTACATATTTATCTTGAGATAAAAATGTATAGAGCATCTCTTTATACAATAACAATGGAATCAAGTTATTTAAAAGGCCATGCTCTCTATTCTCTCTCCACAGCTCAGGTTGGGTGCTTAATAGTCTTTAATACTTTTGATGATTTATTCAGATGTTTTTGTCACTTAAACATTGCTATGAAATTGAATCCTCATTATAAAATAAAAAAAAAATCAATAAATGCAATACCGGTATCTTGCTAGGAAAACATTGAGTGATGAAGCATCTCTATTTCTGCTTCACGATCCTTTGCCCGTTTCTGAAGAAAAGGAAACGATGTCATTAGCTTGATACATAAAAATAATTCACAATTACTAATAGAGGAGAAAAATTATTGATCAGAAAGGTGTATTTCCTTGTGGATTACTTTTCCTACTGTATTTATATTGAACCAAAATATTCCAACTAAAGTCAGTGTTTTATCATGCTATTCTCCAATGCCACACTACAGTATTCTAATAGTCAATTCTTCTATAATGCAGTAGTTGCGTTTCTGAAGAACACATTAGAGTAACAATTGATTTAATGGGAATTAACACTTGGCATTTTCATACGCAAAATTACGTTTGATATATAATATAGCTTTAAGGTTTTCATATGCAAATTTGCTTATGAATTGATAAAAAAATATATATATATTTCTTGTGTATGAACGCTAGACGCACATTTGGCAGTCAGCACGATCTGGCAACTTTGTCGACTATGCTCCAAGGTCACCAAACCAGTCTCCCTTTTGTGTTTAAAGGAGCCAGGATATAACATTGACTTACATTTCCCACACATTTTCTTGCGGCTTGTGCTGATTTCTTATGAATCACAGTGTATTTCATTTATTCATAACAGTGTTGTGAGAGTTTTGAACCATGACTCGTGTTGCTGAACATATTTATGTAGACCATGCACAAAATTACCTAATTCTATAAAGACCTGAAAATTGGAAGAGTAATATTAAGCAGTGTGTATTCCCCTGAATATTTTAACAACAGGAACAATTTAATAAAAAAGAATTGACTGTATTTTCATTATGCTTCTTTAACTCAAGCCCTTGTCTAATAAATATATTTCATGACTTGACCTCCCTTCTTTTCACACAACATGAAAGGAAAAGAGATGGTTTCTGGAACTCATTTTCTATCAACAGGTCTCCAAAGGCCAAGTAGAGGGGACCTAGGGACCCTTTCCACCCCTGAATGATAAGTTATGTTCGGAAAATGGCAGCTTGAAATTGAGAGTACTGTATATAGATATGAGCAAGGCTTGGTGGTAGATACGTTCTTGAGCTATAATTATCATTGGCTGTAAATTATCCTCTATCATCAAGGAGATGCACTTTTTTGGCTCTTAGCCTGGCCATTTCATTGTTCTCTGCTCAGCACATCACTTTCAGAATCATTCTGAATTCTGCACTATGACTAATTTATTTGATTTACAAAAACTGGGGCAGATAAGAAAGATGAAGTGGAACTAATTCAATAATATGAGAACAAATTGGGTAGGTTGGAGCCCCCTTAATGGGAAATGTTCCTAATGCCACTGCTTATCATGTTTAGTATGGCTTCATTGTAGACATAAAGTCTTCCTTGTTAAGTCCCAGTCTACACAACTTTCTTTACTTGAAAAGATGCTTCCTGACAGCAAAAGAAAAATGATGGGGCTTCTTTATAAAGTTCCTATTCCTGTAAAAATTTAGAAATGGCAAGGAGGAATGCCTATAATTCTTACCTTCTGCCTCCTGTACTCCTCATAATCCTCGTCATCTGTAGGCAACTCATAACGGCACATAGGGCATGAGTTAGTCTGAAAAGAAATATAACGGAGTTGTCCTCAGAATTACACTGTATGACTTACAGTAAGTCTGAACTAGGTGACTTGCATGTTATTCCACCAAGAAAGGTACTGTAGTGTGTTTTCTGAAAGGTGCAGTATTATAATTCACCATGGATATGAAACAATGACAATACATAACTTAGGTGTGTATAAATTGGGTGAATGCCACACACAAAAAGTCAATTTCCTCAGTTTAATCTTACCTTCTCTAGCCATGGTAATATGCAAGCTGGATGGAACTTGTGTTTACATGGTAATTCCTTCATTTCTTCTCCCTCAGTCCATTCTTTGAGGCACACTGGGCACTGGCCTCCTGTGGGTAATAATAATAGTACCACACTATAGACCTCCAGCAGATAAATGTCTATACATACACCACTAAGAAGGGATACAGCAATCCCACTGCCTGCACAATGTACAAATAACCCCAAGGTTTGGTTACTTAAATTAGTAAGAGCAGAGTAGACTGGGGTGTTTCACGGTGCAACAATGTAATGAGAATGAAAAAATAAAGTGACTGAAGTAATGAGTGTCCTGGCTTCAAACAAAATAAAGTTGAATGGTAAAGAATTCTGATGAGGACAAGACTAGTGAGGGATGTAAAGTCAGGGCTATTTGAAAGGGTAAGTCAAAGAGGGTATGAAAGAATTCTTGCATGATGAAATGTCGAGATAAAGTGACAGAATATAAGGGAATCAGCCCTATACGATTGTGAGGGTTGAATTCATTTTTAATGTATGTGTGCAAGGAAATGAGAAAAGTGCAGAACAAAAAGAGACTTGCAGAAGGTCGGAATAACTACTGAAAGCATAAAACTGAGGAATAAAGTGAAGGCGATAGGAGATTTATATGTGCCAGGAATGAATAGATAAGGGGAAGTGATAAATATTTTAAGCAGAGAGAGAGAGGATTGATAATGAGGGATACCCGGTAAGTAGTTTAAAGAGAAGGATATTCATAAGAGAACAGAAAGTTGTATTGGAGGGAAGTTAATAGTATGAAGCTGAGAGATCAGATGTACACTGTAGATAGAAGTTAAAACTGAGAACAATGGATAATACAGGCAGAAAAAGGGAGATATGGGAAAGATTTTGAACTACTGAATATAGCACGAGAGAGAAGCAGAGACCTCTTGTTTAGGACAGGAAGGATTCAAGCACATACAGTATTTGAATGGTAAGGAACTAGGCAAGGATGGAATCACTGCAGACATGGTGAGAAAGAAAAGAAAAATGGTGGCATTGATGACAAGTGTATAGGTTATACATGACAAGGAAGAGTAATAAGGGAATAACAAGAAGCATATATTGTTCCCCTTTATACAAGATATGGTGATAAAACTACAGTAATGTATAGAGGAATAAATCTGTTAAATATGCCTGAGATAGTGCACACAGTAGTAAAGTCAATATTGAGAGACCTGTGGCTCATACAAGAAAGTACAGGTATTGGGGAGGACCAGTGTAGGTTCAGAAGAGGATGTGTGACTGAAGTTTTGCATTGGGGAACATGAGTAAAAAGTTTCTGAAGAAAAGGAAGGAATTTGTGCCATTTACAGTATAAATTTGGAAAAGCACACAATAACAGTATTATACTGTTATTATGTGGGTCATATTTTTTAATGGGAGAGAAGCATGTGTTAGGTGTGTTTCAGGTAGAGGGAAACATCCCACTGACAGAAGGGCTGTACAGCAGTACTGTACTATGGATGTGTAGTTGTTCACTTTCAAAGATGGGGCAGTAAAAACTTGTATCTCACATGCTCATAATATATATACTGTATATACCATTTACCATTGTTTATTGAAATAGTGTGAACCCCAAATGTACTTTTGTCTACATATCCGCTTTTGTGTGCACTTCCCCCCCACCCCCCATTTTGTTTGTAATTCAGATGGATGACAACAAGTACAGTATAGTGAGTAACAAAACTATCTTCCCAGTTTTGGACGAATGCTTTGCATTTTACTCAAGCTTTTTGACACATTCTCTAGGAAACTTTTCAACAGTTGGTGGGCCTGGAGAGGACTCATCCTGAGTTTCCAGGGTATCCCTGTTGTACATTTATCATTACTGTGACATATATAATTTACCACATTATCCACTTTGAGATGTTTTGAACCATGATGTGCTTCATGTTCCATACAAAGAGGGCTTCTCATATCTGATGAATCATGCTACCCAGTCAGGCACATCAACTGTTCATATGTAGTGGAGGTAAATCTTTGATTACATATTCCCAGCTTTAATAAATATCAGACAAAACTGGGAAGATAATTTTGTTGCTCACTGCACACATGACTCCCACATCATGATAACAAAAATTTTAAAGAGTAATTTATGAATGTATTATATTGTATAAGTATTCCAATGTTCACAATACCTGTACTTTACAAGCATTTACTAACTCACTTACCTCGTTGAGACACAGTTGAGGTCGTCAGTTGATCAATAAATTCTTTTGAAGTTGGAGGAGGTGGCCTTTCTCCAAACCCAAAAAGTTGTGTAAATTCTACCTGCATATCCTGACAAAAAACAGCTAATTATGACAAGGGCAAGTAACATGTATTAAAATGTACATTTCTGGAGATGATGAGAGGGACAATGCTTATACTGTAGTACTCATTTTTCTTTTAAAACAAGTGTTTGTCACTACAGCTAGCCAGGTCCTCTGCCACAGCAAAGTCCAAGAGGCCTATAAGTTTGGAAACTTGTTAAATATATAAGAATTCTCAGTGCTATGTAGCTTGGTTCAGTCATTACACTTTTCTTAAGTTATTGCATGCATATATATATATATATATATATATATATATATATATATATATATATATATATATATATATATATATATATATATATATATATATATATATCCTCCTACCCTTCCCTCTAATAGAGACAGAATATGATAAAATTAGAATCAAAGTAGCTAGTCAAAGAATTTATATTAGATACTGTACTGTATATATCAATAACAGGTTCATGGACAGGGTGGGAGTGAACATGTACCTTGCAATCAACAACACAGACAACTCTACACTATCCCCTCTTAATAAATCAGGTGAGTACTTTAGCTTTAATGTTTAATTTACTTGTTTATAACTATTTATCTCTCTGTAGGACACAATAATGAACATGTAGCTTGATTAAAGTTGATTTATAGGAATCTTGTTCCATTTTGGACTTAACAATTATCTAGGCCAGTAGCAGGAGGAGTTACCTGTAAGCTGGAGTGAGTGGAGGTCTTTTATTGTTTATAATTTTTCAATTTTAAATTATGTTAAAATTCCATCACAAATAGTTCTCTGTACTGTAAAGGGTACTGGAAAAATGCCCCAAAAGATAGCATAATATAATAATTTAAATACTGTATGCTGTACAAACTTCATTTGCAATGTTTTTACTTGCCATCTTTTACATGAGCTGACGGCTGGCTATACAGACAAAGGGAAGTTTTGCTTTATATATTGTTTCTAAAATAAGACTTTTCCTGACCTACCAAATGTCTTTATACAATGGAAAGTTTTACCATATTGTACAGTACTGTACAATTAATTATAAAATAAGAACTTTTACAAAGAAAGATTCAAGCAATCAATACACGTACAGTACACGTAATTTTAATTATTATGTTTAGAAAATAAAGGAACAGTTACTTTCATTTGAATGCTAGGATAAAATTTATGCCTCACCTGCCAGTAGCCACCATGCAGCAGGAGCCGAGCCATGTGTAAGAAGTGGTCAGGAAGTTGTCCAGCCCGTAAGGGCTGGCAGTCGTGCTCATCAAAGTATGACGACATAACTCTGAAAGACACAATTATAGTTTAGTAATACACAGAACTTATCAGAGGCTTTTAATCAGGTGAAGTATTTGACAAGCATATTAAAGTAATAAGTACAGTAGTACTGTATCTTGGTGAAGATTATCCCTGTCGTAATTTATTGCCAGGCTAGGCCCACATCTACGCGTTGACTATCAAGGCGGTTCTTAAACTGGTTAACGGATGTTGCTTGAACTACATACTGATCCAGATTATTCCATTTGTCACCTGCTCATTGACTGAAAGTGTGTCTTCTTTTTCTTTATTAGCTCTTGCTTTTGTAATGTGTGGTTATGTCCACTCAAGTTTTCTTGATGTATTCAGGTTCATTATTGTGTATAAAAACGGAGATAGCTTTTCCCAAATTTTTTTATTTTCTTCCTTTAATCTCCCGCCATTATCATCTGCCTCTCACCCAACACTGCGTGTCTCTCGCGTCTCCTTCATAAATCATGACGCGCATGCGTAAACGTACACGTCATGCGGCCAATCAAAAATGCGTTTGCTTTTGGAACGAATTAAAATGGTTTTTGGATTTAATTCCGTGTATATTTAGCCCAATCAAAATCGAGTTTTATTTTGGGTCTCATATTTTGAAATTCAAGTTCAGTTCCGACCATGGAAGTCTGCGATGGATGTCACTTAAAGTATATGGAGCTGATTGCGAGTTTTTGGAAAAAAAAACGTAGAAACTATAGCATTTTTTCGATCGCATGGTGTTCTTCCAACCTCAGTAAAGTGTACTAAGAGCAAGACTGAATGTAAATATCACAAAGACCAACATATGTGGCGTTGTTTAAGAATCCCAGAATGCAACGACGAACAAGAACCAGGCCAATAAGGTAAGAAATGGTGATTCCATCATATGGTGAGAGTCAGTTAGGTTAGGTTTTTGTTTTTCTATTGTTTTTTGTGTATTTTTTAGTCGCTTAGCCACTTTTTTTTCGGAAAACGTCAAACGAAAAAAAATTCGCAAAAAAACTGCTAATTTCTGCCAAAAATGAAGGTCATATTCGGTCTAAACACACACAAATACACTAGAGAAATATATTTTTTACTTGCTAAAAGTGAACGGCGTGACAATGCAAATTTACCAATCAAATTCCTCAGATACGTAACCATCACATAGACAAATATCTAGAAATGAAATGGTGACCGTCTCTTTGATCTTCAACCAAATACTAGTCCTAAATAAATGGCCCTCCATCATATTGGGTACGATATCATTTAAGAATACCAGAATAAGATAAGAGCACTTTTAAAATATCCTCAATTATTGCTTTGTTAAAATACCAGAAGGATACATAGCCTCTAAATTTTTCTATACATGTATATAAAGGAAAGTAATGAAATTAATGCCCCACCTTGTGTCCCGACTACCGTCCTCAGCTGACCTATGATTACATACACTGACACCCAACTGGATGATGAAATACTGTACTTAGTGACGTGTGTTGTTGGTGTCCACCCTGAAGGAGAGTTTCATGGCTTCTTTTTTTTTGTATTATAACCCCATGTATACGCTGGCTTAATTTGACATTAACGTTATTGCAATGCTATATTTTCTCTGAAATATTTCGACTAAAACTAATAATTTGGTTACATAGGATCTACTTGCATATAACCTAACTAATCAAAATAATCTAAGAATTAAATTTCTTGGAGTTAATGCATTCCGGTATGTTTAGCCAGTAACAACTCCGGCTTTTAGCCTGTCTTAAATTGGGTTCGGCTGCTCGGCGACGCTCCAATTTTAAATCGAAATGTGAAATGCTGTATTATATCATCACTTTGTAAATCTTCATGAAAAAAGAGACCAGTTTAAAACATTACTTCTGTTAATTTGTCTCTATAAAGTGTGTTATAATACACATGTATATGCTGAGTGCCTCATGGAAGGTGTATATATACCACTTTAATTGATAGTGCGCTGACCAATTAAAACACGACGCGCAGGTAATGAAGCCCACGTACTTATCTTCGATTCAGATCAGTCCACCAGCCTGCAGGTACCACCCTGTAGCAACAACTAACAACAGGTCCCTGATAATGGAACAACCGAGGCAATAGTACTGATAAGTACTTGCTGTGGGACTATTACACCAGATTTTTTAGTGCCTCGGATTAATGGTAATGCCTTGATGTACAGTACACGAAGGAAGGTAGATGGAATGTAATCCCACGTCATAAGCCTAAAATGTGAATGAATAACAAAACATTAAAATATATTACACAATAAAACTGCATCCGAAATCACAAGCAGATATACAACAAAACTAAAGACCACGATAAATTAAAGATTTGTACACATCCTAAAATCCTATTTATAACACTTCACTGACTAATACAAACACGGAGACTTAGGTAGATTTTGATAAAATAATTATAATTACCTACACCATTCCACTGTGTTCATAAATTTATATCTTAAAGTTTCGGAATGTACGATACTTAGTTTATAATCTGCCCAGGTAAACTGTTATGCTGATATACTGTTGACTATAAACGTGTACAAACACTGTGAGCATTATGAACCAAACTTATATGACGGTATTACTAAATATACAGTATATTGATCTGTTTGCACTGCATACTGTAAATTTTTTGTATTGTTTTGGGATTGTATACCTGTGATGTCAGTGTACATTGTGCCTATGTGCGTTTTAAATCAACGTGAAATTGTATGGTGATTTTACTGACTATCTTCCTTATCTATTTATTTAAAGGGTAGTGATCAGCTGTAACTAGTAATAAATGAGCATCAGTGATAAACAAATCGTTGAGTGCCCGCCATACCAGCAAGGACTTGGTACTTCTTTTCCCCCTGTGTTGAGTGTGACCTATTTTGATAAGATAAAGAAGTTACATAGGTAATTATGGTCCGTTTAAGTGTACCAGGGGCATGAAAATCAAAGTATAACTATATTAGAGACATGATGGAATAAAAATATTGCTTGGTAACGTTGGGACTTGTCATTCTTGTTGTCTGTATATTCTTGGTTCAGGTCGTTGGTCATAGATTTTATTGCGCATTATTAACTGTATTGTCAGAATTGTGGGGAAATGTCTTAAATCATTCAACATCTTTAATGGTGTTTTTATTTTCATGGAATCTCTGCTATTAACTGCTAGTTTTAGGATACAGAGAATGCTAGTCGATGAAGGAACTAGCAAAATATGTAGAAGATGTAATTCATGTCCCAACAAGTCATACCAATCACTCTAGAAAATAAATATGGTATTTCTTTACCGATTACTGGTAGAGAAGAGGCCACAGTACGTATTAATTTGATTCACGGTAACATTTTAGTTTCGGTCATTCCTCTATGTAGATATACAAGCTATGTTTTTCAGACTGTTTTTGGTGTGTTTTGAATTATTTGACTTTCATTCCTATCGGAGGTCACTAGTTTTTTAGATACCTCCTCTCCCCTTATCCAACAGTTTTGGGTGGGAGAAAATCGCAAAAACTAGTGATTACCGACAGATATGAAGGTCTTACCAAATCTAACCAATAACCAACCTAACCTAATGTAACCAAACCTAACCTAACCACAGAACCTAGGAACTACTATATCTAACCTAACTGTGGGTCTTTACCCCCCACACCCTCCCTTGACCTAACCAAATCCTAAACTACTGAATCAAATAGTTAAATTCCTAAGATTCCCATGATGACAGAAACTAAAATAATACCTGATTTCATTGAGACAAATGGTTGTATGATAGCAAAGGAAACAGACTCAATGAGATAACTTGACTCTTAAAACATTCCATTGTAGGAGTCATGGCAACTCACTCTGTCTGAGCTTTCAACTTGTTATTTACATGTACAGTATTTGTGGTTGATAGCTCCCCAGTTTGGTTAGGTTAGGTCAGGATAGAACAGGTTAGGTTAGGTTAGAGTAGGTTATGTCAGGATTGAATAGGTTAGGTTAGAGTAGGTTATATCAGGATAGAACAGGTTATGTTAGAGTCGGTTAGGTCAGGATAGAACAAGTTAGGTTAGAGTAGGTTATGTCAGGATAGAACAGGTTAGGTTATGTCAGGATAGAACAGGTTAGGTTAGGTCATGATATATCAGGTTAGGTTAATTCTAGTTAGCTGAGAGATCCCCATTGTGTTTGTGCATTATTAGCAAAGGAATCACTGATGTTGGAGCAGATCTTAGAAATTTGGTAAAGGTGGAGGAGACCGTAAGCACCAGAAGGACTTTATGGAATTGTACCAATTTTTCAGGAGATGTTGTTTGGATGATACTAAGTAATAAAGTCTTAAGCGATAATGCTGTAATATTTTTTTCTTTCTTTCTTTTTAGCCTATTCGATCATAAGCATGAAGGAAGAGGCAAATAATGGGGTAAGAACACTGATCATATGGCAGTAATTTCACATTCCTTTGTTCTTTGTAGGTGAAGAAATAGAATAATTACCATAAGGTAGTAGGTAGATAGGCAGCTACCAAACAGGGAGGTACTACCGCCTGGGAAGATATTGGAAGCATAATGTGTTGTCTAATGGTAGACCCTGCTGCCAAAGGGCATCACGAAAATTGTGACCAAGTCCCAGGTTGCTGATCTGACTTTTTGCCTCATTTACACACAATTGCAGGGTCTCAATTGTTTCTCTTGACATTGACAACACAACATACATATATATTGTTTCACACTCTTGATCCATTTTTATTTTATTTCTTTATGGTTCTTTATTATTATTATTATTATTATTATTATTATTATTATTATTATTATTATTATTATTATTATTATTATTATTATTATTTATTATTACATTTTCGCCCCCCAGGCCCCGATGTGGGTCAGTGACCTGTGTCCGTATGGGCTAATCCCCATAAAAAAAATAAAAAAAAATTATGTCGTTATTGGATATCCCGTGGCGACCATGTCTTTATTCACATCGTCAAGAAACAAACAACAATATCATTGGGCATGTTTAGTACGGTTTTTGTTGGATTGAATTTGTTCATCTTTTCTAGAGTTGATGTTTGGATATATCTGTAGTAACTAAGAAAATCAAAATGACAATGTGCAGGTGAGGAAGTGAAGTGGGGTTAGGTTAGGTTAGGTTAGGTTCTTATTGGTTCTGTATGTTCTCGCTTCCATTTTTGTGTTCAGTATCATGTAAATAGAGTCTCCTGAAATTTTGGTTCAATTCCATAAGTTATGTCTGGTGCTAATGGTCTCCTCTACCTTTACTTGGAATTCCTTTGATAAAGTCCTTCATGATGAAATGTTATCTAAGTCCATGTTTCCTTTATAAATAGTGCTTATTGTTTTGTTTGTGTGTGTAAAACTTCTGACAAAATTAGTTTGTTATTGAATAAGTGTTTGAGTTAGCTACAATTTTTTAAGTACTAAGTATACAATATAGTAATGTACTGTAAATTAACACCTGCATATTGAACTAATATCAATCTCATTTCATTCAAGGTACAGTGATCATGATGACTTAAGAAGAAATCCATTGTAATTTTAAGTAAGTGCTGCACATCTAAGTACAAGCAAGATGGTGGCCTCGCTAGCAATTCGTGAACCCCTGACTGTATCAGCCACACTGCTCTACCTGGCACTGTTCTTCTACATCTACATCCAACTCATACTAGTCCTCGTTTATGGCCACAAAAGATGGTGCGCATATGTTCTTTTTTTTTTTCTTAGATTATATTTTATTGTACCTTTTTTTTTTCCAACACATTCAGTAATTATTATCTTGATGACATTTGTAGAATTTATATGAACTGTTGCATTTGAGGTGACTTTATGCTTGTATTGTACCTCCAATACTGTACATCTAACATGAATCATTGTTCTCAGGTGCTACAGAACTTTCTTACTGTACACGTGTGCCATGTGGGCTGGGCTGCGGGTGACTCTCTTCTCCTACTATTGTTACCTGGAGCATAACAATATACAAGAGACCATCCCTGAGCTCTCTCGTCATGTGGGAACTGCCTCGTACTTTATCCTCTTCTCAATGCCGGTGTACTTGCAGTTTTGTGTCCTTTGTCTTCTTGTCTCTTATTTCTCACAGGTTTGTGTTTTTTTGCTTGTTTCATGGTTTGTTCCTCTCTGGGGACAGTTTCATGCTGAATATATAGATTTAATACAGTATCTATTGTGTAAGTAAAGTCTGACACTCAACAATAAGTTTTTTGAAAGAGTAATTTCAACAATTGACTCTTGACTTATACAGTATATTCATCTGTACATGTCCATATTGTAGATAATCTTGGGATAATACAGTATATTGTTTATTTTATGTAGTAATACACGTAGGATAAAGCAGTTTCACGCTAGCTTTATAATATATACCAGTACTGTACAGAATTATGTGAATTTACTGTACTTTCATAGTTTTATTTTATCAAGCATGAGGTAAGCTCTGCAGAGTAAGGGGAAGTGTTTAGGCTGTCAATTTCAGCTGTTATCGTTATTTCATAATGGAAATGTACATTAAAATATTGATCTTACAATATTCACATGCTTGCAAAGATATTCATAGTTTTTGAAGGTGAATAAGGAGAGAAGATGCTCAGTCAATAGGTCATGAAATAGAGGGGTTCTGGTTCTTGAAGTAAACGAAATGACAAGAATAGTTTGAGCTACTTAGGGATGTGCTACACCTGATGAGTTGCTGTTAACTCAGTCTGACCAAAGTGTATCAACTGTGTATAAAGCTAAAAGGATTTAGCTTAATCATTCTGTCTGGTTTAGGATTAATAGAGGATTTGGATTGTGGAGACTTGTTAAGCACGGTATAAAGAAAACTTTGGTACTTTGTCATTATGGCTGAGCAAAATACACATAAGCATAACTAAACTTTCAGTAAATTTGTGTAGCACAAAAAGTTTAAGTGAGATTTTAAGTACAGTAATTGTTATTTACAGATTGTGCGAAGCACTGAAGACCGATACCAACCAACAAGATGGAGGTACATGTTATAAAAGTTATGAGTATCAATACTTATATATATTTTGAGATTTACAGTGGATCTCACATACTGTATTTTGATGAATATAAGCCTCCCCCAATTCTAAGCCGCGGGATAAGTTTTGGACAGAATTTAAGCCTTCAGTTCTAAGCCACACCCCCAAGTTCATAACACCAGAAATACAGTACTTACGTACTGTAATGTACTGTATAGGATATTGATTGCTGTACATAAGCTCACATTAAAATAGTTAATTGGTGTAACGCAACTACAATACTCTACCTAACAACAGCACCAGTGAGCGAGGAGATACAGTCAGTAGCGATGATGTCACAGAAAAGAAATACTGTATGTTATCACTTTGTTGGTGAACGCTCAGTCTATCTGAGGATATGCTGTGAATTCTTTTGGAAAGTTGACTGTGATAAAGTATAAAATATGAAAAACTAGTAAGAGGATACTGTAACATCTGCAATTGTTTTAGTACATCAACTCGTTTTTGTACAGTACTGTACACATGTTGCTTTCATCAGTGTCAAACTTCCTAGTGGCAGCTCTGTTGGAGTTTTCAGCTGCAAGCTTAACTGTCAGCAACTTCTCCTTTACTGAATAGGATAAGCTTTTCTTTGGGGGGCATGTTGAAGGAAAATTTTTATTTTATATTCCCGTAAGCATCATAAAAGTTGTGAAGTGCTGGAAGCAATGTAGATCGTGTCTCCCCCAAACGTTGACAAGCGTGAGTGGCGTGAGCCATGATGGCGTCTGTATGTCGTGTGACTAACTCATGGACTTCCTCCCACTTTACCGAAGTGGAGTTGCCATTTGCGATATATTTTTAGACGAAAAATCTGATACAGTATCATAATTGACTCATATGTATCCATTGACTTAAGAGTGTGATTCATAACTTGATATATCTGAGTATCACTAAGTTACCATAGAGCAACAGTGTACAGTATATTACCATTAACAGAATGTGTACCTTATACCACCATTGCCTCTCACACACACAATCAAGATTTTTCTTTCATATACAGTACTGTATCTGAATTTGGAAAACTTTCATAGTGGCTTGATAATGTGTTATTTAATGTACTGTATGTATTTGGAAAGTCAACAACAATTACATAAAAATAAGATATTAGACTAATTGTAACTGCCTATAACTGTTCACTTCCCAGATCATACAAATAATGATCTCTTTTTATTATGAAGAATAAACATTTATACTTGTAGTGAAGTTAATTTCAGTAAATTATTTAATATTTTATTATTACCGTGAGGGTTTTGGACATCATAGGTGTGGTTCACTGAACTTCATTCTTGTAAACAAACTCACGGGTGATAGTAATGGTGGTATTGATGGTAATTTTGACATAGGGTGAGGCAGTAATGGTGGTGGGGACTGGTTAGAGGTGGTGCTAGAGCACACAAGGAATAACGGTAATACTTACGAGTATTTTTGAGGCGTTACTAAAATGTGTATCTGATAGTATTAACCCACTTTTGCCATATATTTTAAGGGAAAAAAGTGCAGCTTATATTTATCAAAATGCAGTATATCTTTATCTTTTACACCAAGATGATGATTGTACTTTCAAATGCTTCTCTGTGAATAGTGGTCACTTCCCATTCCTAAAATGTCTATTCTTGCTACACTCATTCACTGATTCCTCACATGTCATTTTGGTTATTACCTTTTACCTGTTTCAACTAACACCACACCGAGAGATGAAAAGTCTTCATTTTGGTTTTACAGGAGCTTATCAGGCCACACAGCAGGGGTGGTGGTGGCAAACATTGTGGTATTTGTGACCAACCTAACATGTGCTATCCTTATCAAGGAAGCAGAACATCAGATGCCAGGTACAGTAAGTCTGTTTTGTCGCTATCTTGGTGTAGAGAGATGTGATTGTATTAGTTAAACTACTAATAGTGCTGAAATGATGAAAACAATAGAGACGTGCATTGATAGAAATTTAAAGTAATTTATAAGCACATACCACAACATTATGGATGACAGGAACAAAGTACACTACTTTTGTATTAAGGATATACAGTATAGTACAGTATTTGATTTAAGAGCCTGTGGAGAATCATATAGTACAGTTATGTCGTGTGTTGTTGAATTGAGTTTTTAAGAGACTATTTTATTGTTTGTGTTGTGAAATATATATATCTTGTTTGTAGTTAACCTTCACCTGTGTGCTAATTATTTGTATAAGTTTTCGTAATGCTATAACTTTGTTCTGTCTCTTTCTAAATTCTCAATCTGTTATTTTCTCCATAATCCAGTACAATGTATATGTATCACTCACCCTCGTCATGATGTAACCCGTCAGTCAGTCTGCCATCCTCCATGATTCCCCAGGTCTGTAAATTTTTCATCCTGACAGCGATTCAATTTGTCTGTCAGACTTTCACCCTCTGTGAGCCAGCTATTTGTCGGTATATTAATGTCTCCAGGAGTCAGTGTGGCATACTCATTAATTTTTCTTGTCCAGTATGTCAGTTTTGTCTCTCTTAAGCTATTATCTTCCTCCTTTGTATTGCCAGACTGTCCTGCAATACTGTACTCCAATTTCCTCCTGGATACAGCCAGTCTGTCACCCTCTCCTAGGAACAGACCAGTTTTTGTCTGTCAGTAATCCTCTTCACGGCTCAGTTTGTCATCTTATTCCTTCACCCTGCTTTTTAGTCACTTCCAGTCACTTGTTATCAGTTGCGTCCCTCCCATGACGGTTTGTGTGTATGGTGGGCCTCAGTCTGGTATGCTCTATTGCGCTCCATGAACTATCTTGTCCTTTTATCTTTTCCTCTCGCTTGTAAATTATCCTCTTCCACAGTGAGCACATCACCTGTTTCTCTCTCTATTTAAGTGTTCTTGACTGTATATCCATCTCCCCTTTTGTTAGATCCAAATAATAATTCTTCTTGGTTGTTGAATCAATCTTTAGTGTACCTGTTACAGTGTTTGCTTTGTTAATTCAAAAATTTTCCTCCAGCCTTGACAGATAGTATTATTCCAAGTCCGAAGCTCCTTGTTGCCAAACTTCCAGGAACTGTGCCATATGTCATTTACATCCGGGTTTTCATCAATGGGCTGATGTTTATTGCCATGGCAGCCGCTCTAGCGTACCTGATTGTGCAAGTGGCAAAAACTGCCGAAGTGCGGCTTCTTCTGGAGACTGAGGTTTGTGGCTTATATGTAAGCCCCTGAATAATTTAGCTTCATTAGTGATCAACAAGTAACAATACATTTTGAAGTTTATTCACCTTTTTTCAATATTTAAATGCTGACAGTGAGGTGTTTCCATTCATAGATGCTATGTTTATTATTGTACCTAGAATGTGTAGTTGCTTCAGTTTTGTTTACATGTACTTACAGATTGTATTGCTACATGTACAAACCTCTCTAATCACTGTCACACCTGCCTGTATCCCGTGTTAGTGTTAGAGACTCAAGATCCAAATTCTAAGCAGATTTTAAAGATTTTTCTAATGAGAGTTTTGAGCCTAGACAAAATGAGCTTTTATCATATGTATATAGATTGCTAGTGTTGTGTAAAGATAAGTGATGCTTATTAAGTGATAGGGACAAGATGAGAATATTGTTTGGGTGTATGCTGTAGAGACATATGTCTTTGCGTATGTGTACCTTTGTTTTGTGCTTGTTGTGGTAATAGAATCATATATCCATTGTCTTCAGGATATGACCCAGGCTGGGGCTCGTAGTGTGGGCATCCTCTTAGTGACCCTCTACCTGTGCAGAACTGTTGCCAATATCCTGGCTCTTGTGCCTAATGTTGGCTGGGTTTATGACACTGACCAGGTAATACACTTTACTTCTTTTTTCTTTTCTTTTTAATATTTGCCTTTACTTCTTACAAGTATTTTTGTTGAATGGATATATCTTTAAAGAAAAGGTGATTTATTTCTTCTCTTCATCAATTACAGTATAAAAGCTTATACTGCACACTACACAAATTCAGTACCAGTCTTTTGTAGTCTACTGGTGAAGTTATTGTCAACTCATATATGGCCAAAATAATCCAGTATTTGAAAAAGCAAAAGGTTGCAGATCTTTAATTACTCCAAAAAGTACAACTTCACAGGAATCCTTAAGAACACTTGAGTATCTTTTGCAGGCATCTACCATATTTTCCATCTAATAAGAGGCCCCAAAAATGTCTTCAAACCTCACCCTGCATCTTACATGCTGAAGGTTAACCCTAGATCCTGAGGATGCCCTTACAGTACTGGACTGAAACCAAAACTCCCTCACTTGACCCCAGAATGAAATATATATATTATCATAAATTGTTAGATAAAGAAAACTACCAACAAGTTAACATTCAGGGTTGGGGACCAAGGTGGCTGCCACCCTCACTATTGCTCAGAAGTTTTTATATGCCATTTTTATTGATAAAATAAGTTTTGAATAAGATAGGAAGACCATTTTTTTTTTAGATAGAAGGAAATTGATTCAGTTAGCATGTTATATCTGTTTCTGTAACATGGAGACTATTAATTTGAATAATTATGATAATGACATACTGTACAGTACAGTATTCTGTTTTGAAGATTCTATATTTTTCTATGCTATTAAAATTTGTATTATAATATAAACATATACAGTATAAACAAATAAGAATAAATCAGTCAAATGAAACAAAATAACGCATAAAAATAATGAAATAAGCCACCACCAGTTTGTGCTGCATGGCATCGCCTGATGCTATATCTTCTCACAAAAAAAAAATCAATTGTCTACTCTGCTGAGTGTTCAGTTCATTACAGTACATATTGTATTTCCAATTCTTGTCTTTGTTATTGCCCAGTTCCATTAATCTAATGCTGAGTAATTTAAGGATATAAGGCAGAAGATCTCAGGTAACACTTAGGGGAAGCTGCTGCTTGAGAATCTCAAATATTTCTTCCTGCTAAGTTAGGGATATGGCAGAAAATACTGTACATTATTTCTTTTATGATTGTGAGTTATTCAAACAGTAACAATGATAATGTTTTGTGTTAAAATTATGGATAAATTAGCATATTGTTATTAATATTGGGTATCTGCAGGTGGACCTATTGAGTGATAGTGAATATGGCTACTACACCTTCATTACTGTCCAATTCCTGTGGGAGTACCTCCCAACACTTGCCTCCGTCGTCTTCTTTAGAGTCAAGAAGCCAGTGGTAAGTACTGTAGAATGGGTTGATGTCTCACATTAATCTGCCTTACCTGTCCTGAACTGAAGGGCTTCATTACACTTTCTTATACTGGTCCCATGTGTAGTGTTAATTCACTTAACGTTAATTCGGTTTAGTGATGAAATAATTTTGACACCCTTTCTCTCTTAATGTTAGGTCCAAATTCGGTAGTGAAAGCTCGACTTACTGGGAAAGGGAAAAACTAGGGATGATACGACAATTATATTTATTTAGTAATAATAAATGTTACAATATTATTTACTAAGTAATCAAGACAGATCCTGTGGTAAGCACCAACCCTCTTGAGCAGTGATAACAATGGTTTGTGAGAGATGATGAGTGCTGGCAACATTATTAGGGAGAGCAGGTCCGATCAGCTGTTATCGCTCTGTAAACAAGAGACTGAGAATATACTATTTGTGCAATAGCTCATATGGGATTGAGTATGATTTTCGTAGTAAAATTAATTATTTTTCCATAATGTTTTATTAACCGACACCAAATGAGCTGAAATAGTGTGAGAATTATGGTGAAATTGCATACTGTACTGTCGTTATAAAGGGATCGTTGACTGATGGGCGCAGGAGGTACGTTGTTCTCTCCTCCCTCCTCTGCCACCCGCCACCTCGTATCCCCGACTATGCCCCCAAACGTAGTTTTGTACTGTATCTTAATATAATTCATATTCTATTCCTGTAATTCATTCATCTTAATCTATTTCTGAATATATTCTTAAAATAATACAGTAATCGACTTTTCGGAACTGCTTGCTTATTGCAGATTCATTCCGAATTAAAATCGTTTCATTCATATTTGAAAAAACATACGAATTAAGCCAAAATCCAAATAATAATGATCCAAATTAATGAGGGTATAGTGTAATGCTAATTATAAGTACCCATGGACCTGATGAGTTCCAGAGAGTCTTAAGTCAGTAGTTGTTAACTTGGGGTATTTCAGTTACCATGAAGTTAAGTAAACTGTTGTGAAATATCTCATTATTTCTATTAATCTACTTTTTGTCTTCCTCAGCTTTTGTCGTATCCACCCATATTGGAACCAATGTCCCGGTCTGGTAACAGAGCGAGTGAGAGTGAGGATGATGGGTCGTTCAATCACTACTACCCTCACCACTACCTCCACCCACAGTATGTACAGTACAGTACCATTTATAAATGTTTTCTCTCTCTCTCTCTCTGTCATCAGTGTGGAGAATAAGGATTCATCGTGTTTAGTAGCCTCGGGTTATTTTATGACTTTAATTTTTCTAGGTATTTCGAGATTTTTTTTTTAATTTGCCGGAAAAGCCAGTCTGGAAGCATTTGGAATAAACTACTGTGCTGATACAACTACCGTGCCCGCTCATTTCCCCAGGTGCAGTCATGGTTTCACTCGCCCAATCCTCACTCAAAGTCAAGGGCACTCGTGTGGATAAGAACAGGATGGGCCCCATCCAATATAAAAAATATTTACACATAATCACACTAAAATAACAAACTGTTATATGTAGATCATAGTTTGTTCTTATCTCTCTCATATGCTAGGCAATGGTTAGTAGTCTGTTATTTGGTTATGATACTGAGGGGTTTCCCTGTTCCTATACAGTATTCCTGACCCTATTCTTATAGAAAAGCATTGTTAATTAGGTGCACAGTGGTGATTTGGGACTCAAAATATTCTGTGAGTAGCAACCCTATCCTATCACTGCCTATATGAATGGAAAAAAATCTTTATGCTTTACAACACCAAACCTGATATACAGTTCATGGATTTACTGTACGTACACTATTTCATCACAAGACAACAAATTCTTACAATGACCAACACATCATTATTTTGCATGACCTATATTTATGTTGAGAACACTTATTGTGAACATCATATTTGCATGTACAGTACAGCATATGCATCTTTGTTGTTAAACTTAAAATTGTTTTCATAATTCTTCTATACTATAAAGGACACCTTACTAAAACAAACAGTTAGGCTCTAATTACCAAGGTTCCACTGTCTGGGGTACATCCAATAAATAGCTGTGATTTTGGTGAAGGTAGATAGAAATATTTCAGAGTTTTGCTGGTAAATATGAATAGAAATCCATGTGGAAAACTGGAATACTGTTGTGTTGAATTCATGGACAGTGTTTGAATTTTGTGGATGATTACCATAGTATAAATTTTTTATCAGATTTTGGGAGAGTTTTTTGGTTGACTGGTTGTAATTTAGTTGTCATATTACTGTATTGTCCATGTTTTATATTCATATCATGAGGCTTTTTAACTAATTCTTGTTTTCCCATGTTTGGGTTGTATTATACTGTGGTGTTTGAAGACTTGTATGGGACTTAATACAGTAGAGTGATTTTTTATCCGAGAACTCTAAATAATTCCCATACACTAAAAACTATATCTGATGGTAGCTTGATGCTTTGTGTAAATGTAGCCTATTGTTACAGAAAGAGGAAACATGACCCTGAAAGTTATCAGTTATCATGTGACCCATCAGTGGTCTTCACTCGGTCATGCCATGGCGCTCACTGTGAAAGAACGTGTTTCTTGTCGAACATTACATCAAGAATGCATCCTTTAAGGAATGTCAAATTGTATTTAAAAGTCTCTTTGGTGGTCATACTAAACCTTCAAAATCAGTTATATGGAAACTGATGAAGCAGTTTAGAGAAACAGGCTGCGTGAAAGTTAAACACGCCCAAGTACAGTATTGTTACACTGGAGAAAGTGGATGAAGTGCAGGAAAGAATGGAAGCAAGTTCAAAAAATTATCTTGAGACATTTAGCACAACAAGCTCACTGTTCATATTCCATTGTAAGGAAGATGGTCAAGACACTCTAACTTTATCCCTTCCAAATTTATGCAGTGCATCAGTTATTGGAGCCAGACAGAGAAATGTGAAGCCTACTGTGAGTGAGTGGCTTCAGAGGCTGGTAAGAGACCAAGACAATATTTTGGATGTTATGTTTTCTACAGATGAAGTATGGTTTCATCTTTCTGGGTATGTACGTTCACAAAACACTTATTTGTGGCTAAGTGAACAACCTTATGCAATGCACGAAAGGCCATTGCCTTCTGCAAAAATTTATGTTTGGTGTGCTGTAAACTGGCAAAGAATTATTGGCCCAAATTTCTTCTCATAAACAGTAAGCTCAGAACATTACATCATCATTATCCAGGAGTCTCTTTGGCATCTTACTGAAGACAAAATGAACCGAGGCTGGTTTCAGCGTGATGGTGTCACAAGTCGCACTCCGCGATACAACATGAAAGAACATAAGCTACTTTTTGGTGGTTGTCTAGTGTCCAAGTCATTATGGCCACCTTGGTCCCCAGATCTTACACCACCACTTTTTTGGGGGGTGGGGGGGGTGTATTTGAAGGGTATAGTGTTGGCTATAAACCCTTGGTGAAATAAAAGTAATTAGTGGCAGTCAGCAATATTCCCCTAGAAATGTTATACTCTGTGTTGGAGAGCATGCTGCCATGAATAAATTTGTGCCTACAACAGTGGACACTTTCAACACTTCATTTAAGATAATCAATAGTGTGGATCATGTCACGTCTTTCTGTAGCATTAGGCGACATTTATGGAAAATATTAGTTCCTAACTGAAATGATATAGTGTTTAGTGTATGGGAATTACGGTATTTAGGGTTCTTGAATAAAAAAATCATCCTGTAGCACTCTTGGGTATAAGGATGGTGGTGGACTCTTTTAAGTGGTGTATTTACATAGATAAGAGCATTATAGTATTGGTGATTTAATGACTCAAAGTTATGAAATCTATCAGGTTATCAGTGAGCATTAATAGTATCCCATTATAATTTGCATTTTGACCCTAAGAATATTATGATCATAGCTAATGCATATTTACAGTACAGTATATCCAGACTGTGTTTGTCCTTTGCTCTAGAAAAAGGTGTGTGAATAAACAATTGTGAACCTGTGTATGTTTATGCATGTAATACTTGTACTGTCCTGTTTGTTGCGAAGTATTAAAAAAGAGTATGGAAACAATTGTTTACCTGAGGAAGTACTGTACATACAAGGGAGAGAGTAGCATTAGGAAGGATAATGACAAATGCAGAATAGCTATCATTGAATAATAGCTTAGAATCTGAAATATATGAAGTAAAGTACCAGTTTCTACTGTAATTTGACCTTAGCTACTTGTAAAGAGGTAAATGGTTAACTAAAGTAGGGTTTTCTGGAGGAATCAACTGCCACTTAAACTGACCCAATTCATCAGATATCTGGGCCAGTTCATATTGTTCCTAATACTTAATTTTAATTTATCTAATATTGGAAAAATTTACTCATACAATCTTGATAATTTCTGCATCTGTTTTTATTTTGTCATACACATACCAATAAGTAACAAATTCTGAAAAAGAAGACTCGTAGGCTATGGGAGTTAATATTTTTCATGTTTTAAGACCACAGTCTGGCCCAAAACACATGGATTTCAACCCACTGACAGTATTACCACTCACCTAAGTCAACCCCCCCCCCTTCCCTACCCTTTCTCCAGTGAATACACTCTGAATAGTGTCACAGACTTCTCTATCCACAGCCATTTCAGTTCCCCCTTGGGCCTTCTATCGAATTATTTAGTGATTACTTGGAATTGGAGAAGTTCTCTTGTATTACATCCTTCACAATAATACAGTATTTGAATGACAGACCAGAGTAAGTAATTGTAATTGAGTGAGGTTATTTTGAACAAGTGTAGACATGAAAAATGTAAGGGGGAGGTGTAGGAAGTGTAGACATGACTCCTGTAAGGGGGAGGTGCAGGAATTGTAAACATGACTAATCTAAGGGGGAGGTGCAGGAAGTGTAGACATGACTAATGTAAGGGGGAGGTGTAGGAAGTGTAGACGACTTTACTGTGAGTGTGGGTACAGGAAGTGTTGAGGTGTGTGGTGATTATAATATGTACTGTAAGTTTAAATGCCATGTCTGTGTCATATTGTTATATAACACCATATTGGATGTGAATAATAGATACTGAAAGAAATATTCATGCCTGTTTATGGTTGGGGATGGTGAGTACTGTACAGCAATAATGTTTTGACTTCATATTTTCCTATTTTACAGAAAATAAAGGAATAGTCTTTATTGCCTCTAGAATAAAGCTGCTGTGTTCTAATGGAAGAAAGGTCTTAGAGAGCAGAAAAATAAAACAATATTATTATACTGTACTGTACTGTACTTACATATACAGTACAGTACTGTATATGTATATTTTTACACTTAAGGTTTCCTTGGATATATGAATACTGTATGTACAAGCTATGATCATTTGGCAGTTCTTAAAGGTTATCTGTGTAGATGATTCTCGTATAATATGTAACTTTAGTTGTAGTTTTATCTTAGATATATGAGTACAGTACTGTACAGTACTTGTAGTGTTGCTGAAACTAACCATTGCATTTCTCCACACAGTATTTCATTTCAGCAGGCCTCAGACACTTGGTTTAGTAATGTGAACGAAAATAATGCCGGAGACACCCTCAACCCCTCCTCCCGCACCGGGTCACATCAGAACACACCGCACTCTCCTGCTCACCGCTTTCTCTACCGCTACATGGGCTACCGACCCTACCTTGAGAGTCAGTAATGTGTCCTCACTTTCCTAGAGCTGACATTATCTGATACTACTGAGTGACAACATGTGTATTATTTATAATACTCATGTAATATTGTTGCTGTATAAGTAAGAGTTAATGACCAAGGAGCATTTATAGTCATTAGAAAGAGACAAGGAGCATTTATAGTCATTAGAAAGAGACAGTTTTCTCTGTTATTGAAGAATGGCAACTGATTATTGGGGAAAAATAATCTTACAGATAAGAGTAAGAGATTAAGATACATTCCATAGGTATTAGGCAGAAACCTGGACAACAAAAGAAATTATTGGTGATTCTTGAATAATATTCACTGACAATGTCTTTTGGACGTCAGGATTCTCAAAGTATACAGCAGCTGTTAGTAAGGCGATGGGAATCTCTTTTAACATAATGTTATACAGTTTTGTAAAGAAGACTGGAAATGATAGTAAAAATTTGACAGTTTTAGAAGAAATTTACCCAGCTTGAAAACTATTCAATCTGAGTAGATGAATAAAGTTGAAATTTTAATTAAATCAATTTCTCATGGAAGATCAGGGTTTGATAATAATAACCTATGTGTTCAGGTAAAAGTGTTAAATGTATTGAAGAAAGAAGAGACACAGAATGTGATATGGCATTAAAAGAACTTAATATATTTTCTTTGTCATATAATGCCAGTATAATAATAGCTTTACATGTACTGTTCAGTTGTAAACCCAAAGAATTTTTTCTTTTAATGGAAAGGGATGTTTTTCCAGTTCACAGTTCAGTAATAATGTTGACAATACTTTTATATCCATGGTGTACATCCCATTCGCTAGATGACTTACACAGCTTTAAGTACAGTATAAGAGATGATGTACAGGTACATATATTTTATTCTAACACCATAGATGATGACACAAATGCAGTTGTGATGTAGCTGGGTAGTATCGTGGAGTTCATCAAGGCTGGTGTATTTAGATGAATATATATACAGTATATATATATATATATATATATATATATATATATATATATATATATATATATATATATATATATATATATATATATATATATATATATATATATATATATATATATATATATATATATGGGAATGAGGTCCAATTTTTGCTGGTTGAAGTGGGATTTTATTATATCTATTTATTTATTTTTATTGAAAAATTGGGTTTGTGATATCACTGCAGGTAATTAAAGTGGCAAAATGTTATTTTGTTTTGTAGTGTAAGATTACATTTTTTTCCTAACCATTTACACTTCTCTCATTGAGAGCAGATTTACATGTAACAAGTATCTTTACCAATACTTTAATATCAGGCTAGGAAAAGTCAGTAGAATTGGCCTAAGATACTTCCTTAAAAATTCTGCTCTTTTTTTTTTTTTTTTTTGCACATACTGTAGATATAGGAATGTATACCAAGAGTGTTGCATCTATAAGTGATAATAATAATAATAATAATAATAATAATAATAATAATAATAATAATAATATATTGTGCATCTGATACACTACACTGGAGGATGTTGGTACAGACATGCTACAATAGAATCTGATGCATTTAGCTGTGGAACTCTTGGTTCTGGGGTTATCCATGTTTGACAACTAAAAAGGTGCTTCTCAATATACAAAGTTGTGTGTGTACATCGGAGCACAGTAAGCAGTAAATTTATTGATAAATGTGAAGTAAGATTATATCAGTGCATAGTACTGGAGTACTATGGTACCTGGCACCTGCTTGGTAGTCAATAATACTGTACTGTATTGGATTCAGATACTGTACAGTAAATAGGTATGACTTATATAAATGTGTTAGATATTTTTTAATAAGTTTCTGTGTAACGTATGGTTCTTTTTCTCCTACAAGGAAGGAGGAAGCATTTTGTTTTAAGATACCCTTTTATTGAAGACATTTACAGTATTCTTTTATGGTAGAGGAAAATATGTGACTTTCTGTCTTATTATAATCCAGATGTCAGTGTTACCTGTAAGTAAATCAAATCAGTTAAATGTAGATTACTTTAAGAAATCATATGCATTTGGAATAAACATTACAGTACTGTACTTATTTCCAGAAATTAAAATTAATAATTGGATAATGCATTGTATTGTAAAGGGAGACAGTAAGTGCAGTGATGGAGGCTGAGTGGGGAGACTGGAATCCTTGGTATGTGTCACTGGACTATAGAGAGAGCCAATGAATCAAAGGTACGTTGCAAACAGATGTTTATTTCACCAAAAAGTGCTGCACTACAACCAAGCAGCAGTCTGACGAAAATAGTGTGCCTATAGATTCTGCCGCCTCATTAGGAAATGAATACCGCCAGTCTTCAGATGAGGTTTCTGGACATTCAAGGAAAATTATTATTATGTATTTATTTTTTCTTTCAAATTTCAAATTTTTTGTTGCATATGCTTCACATTGACCGTACAATATTTTAAAGGAAAATAATGCCCCACACACTGAGTCTCTCATCTCTATTTAAGAAGAGCTTTATTAAAACAGATAGATAATTACCCAAAGAATAATTCTCAGTCATTAGCCTAAGTATGTGGTTTGTTTGTGTGGGATTTGCTTTATTTTTTAGTTTATTTTCAGTATACAGTAGTGAAGTGCAGTTATATGTGGTTCTGAAGAATACAGTATTTTCAAGTGAACACTCCCACCAGATGTGACTGTAAGCTGCTTGTGCTCATACGTGTGGTAGAAAATATTTATGGTTTTCAAATACAAATTTTTCATCAAGAACATTAGTATGGTTACAAAATTAGATGCTGTAATTTCCACTGGGTTACAGTATCCTAATATGGTGCCTTCAATGGATTACAGTAGAAATACATTTAAAATGCACTGAGGTGAATCAGCCATACATTACAGTACATCTGTACAGTTGTAATAAAATGCATCTACATTTTGATTATCTGAAGCACAAAGAACAAATTTCAGGAACTCTGTACATTATTGCTATATCAGTATACATAATTTGTTAACTACATAACCTGCATTTGTGTTCAGTTAAGTACTATACAGTGTATGTTTTGTAATTTTTTTATTTCTTGCAACTACACAAACTGTATGTGTAGTGACAAGTGAAGGATACTAGTAGTACAGTATTAAGAAAATGTTATGAATAATATTTTTATACTGTATAGGTATATTTAACTTATGTGTGAAAGAGTGTTGATGTGGATATTTGAACATTTTGCTGAATATTTTACCCTTGTGCTGTAAATGAAAAAGTAAATTGGATAAAATTTATTTTTATGTTCTGTGACCCCTACCACAAGCAGTGAACTGCACACAAGTATGGGGAAATTTTATCCATTTCCTTTCCATTGTTAACTACGATTTCTCTATTTCCATTTTTGCTCCCAAATACTGTGCATCTAATTCTTTCACAACTGTGGTAGTTGCATTCTACAGTTTTGTACTCCCCAATTTTTCTGACTATACTCTCTCATACAGCGATAATACAAACAGTACTGTAAAGTTCTTTCATCATAAAAATCAGCAGCCTTCAGTAAACTTTGAAGTATAGTACTCTATACAAAGTCAGCTTTTCCTTTCTCCTAGGCTTTCTCTTAATTCATAAATGCGGTTCTTTGTGGACTTTCCTCGCTAAACTTCTCTTTGCCTCTCACTAAAATACAATTATTTGATCAGTAACATTTCTTTCCTGAAACTCTATTATTTTCTCATTTAAGTACAGTAGTTCTGTGATACTTTTCACTTGATCAATCAAAATTATGTGATTCACCTTTTGCATCTGTAAATCTGACACACAATCATACTACCCTGACCTTTGTGTAAGGGAACAAAAACTGTCACCATCCATTCTCCTTGTACAGTACCTACCCATTTGTTCATATAATTTAATAATATACATTCTCCACAACATTATCCTCTAGTTTTTAATTACTTCTCTTACCACACCGTGAACCTCCTGAGTAACCATTTCTTGAATATTTCATCACATGCAGGTGGTACAGTACAGGGATCCCTCGCTATATGAATGGGCTATGTTCCCACTGGAAAAAAGAGTTAAGTGAATTTTTGTACAACAAATAAAAGAACATAATGGGAAAAAATAGGGTTCGGTTTCCCAATGACAGGAAAACCCCAATATCATGCCCCACAAACATGAAATCAGTTCCTGAACGACCAAAAACCTCCTGAACTAATGATAAGTAGAACACAACTACTGTCATTTACAACTTAACACATTAAAAACATTAATAAAATACTATCTTGATGAAAATATGCAGCTAAAACCATTAAGGAAAAGCTAAAGGAAAGTTTAACAACCACCATTTGTATAGACCCTGGCTGCATCACAGATGGTCGCCCTTAAGTCTTGCCGTAGCAACCCAGCTCAGCTGGGGACACCGCTTCTGTCGACCCTTAACAATGCTCCCCCTCTCACTCTCTCACACTTAAGAAATGTTTCATCCTTTAATTTTTTTTATTTTATGATCATTATTTCCCTTACTTTTGTTTTGAACTTTATGTATATAGGACTGCGTATGTAACTTAGTAACAAAATGGTAGGAAAGTTAAGTTTATCTACCCAAAATTACGAGATGAAAATATCCATAACTACTCCCCCGCACCCTCCTCCCCCACACCCTCCCCAAGCTCACTTGCAAACTCTTGCTGGTGCACTCAGAAATATTTATTCCCTTTATGTTTTTGACCTTATGATGATTATCTCAAACGTTTGGTTATAGTGAGGGATACTATACTTGTACCTACTTATGGCCTACTCTGTTTATTTGTCATTCTGCCTGTTGTAATGAATATAATTTTGTAATGAGAAATAGACTGGCAAAGTGAAGTATAACAATATGGGTGTGAAATAAGTAAACATTCATTCACAGTCATTGGCAGGTACTCATACATCCCCACAGTATTGCAAGCATGGGGCATAAAAATGAATTGGAAATTAAAAAAACTGGCGAATAAATTTATCCTTTTGAATGAACTGACACATGAAGCTACATGTTAGATCTAACCTTGTACTCTCCTTATGTTGTCTGTTGTACTAATATTTAATGCTAAACTCACCCTTCTCATCCATCCTTGCCACATCTCTAGATATTCTCTCATTCTTTCATTAACTTTCATATCTTCCAAACTTTATCATAAACATCTCTCTGAGGATATCCCTTACTACTGCATTTCTGTGTCCTGAAAGTTAAGATACCAGGAGAAAATACAGTGTGATTTGAGTTCATATTGTGTGGAGTAAAGTACTGTACAACAGTATTTTACAGTAGTTCTATGGTACAGTTGTAGAAATGTGTTCCTACACCCCTTGTGGTAACCCATGTTTGGAGAAATGGCTCCATCGCCGTAGTAGTATCACTAGAATGAATGGGTATTAGTCGTGTAATGACAGATGTGATTAGTGGATAGGTTTGCTGTAGGTCATAATATAAGTTGTCCATTTGGAGACCTGGATTACCACAGGGGGGTGTAGGAACACATTTCTGCAAATGTACTACTTTGTTCTGGAGTTTTATATATACAAATATATGGTATTTAAGGTACTAATACCATAATTCTTGCTGTGTGCTTCAGCATTATCAGTCCTGGGCTGCATGTAGTGGTAACTCTTACCAGTATAATTCTACAGTCATGATAAAAATTTATGTGGCCACTTCATAATAAATGCATTTTCTTAAAATATATCATATACAGTACAGTACTATGCCTCTTTTGGCTGCATAAGCTACTTAATGTATGTTGTTTGCATGTTTTACATTATGTAAGAGATTACAGTCTTGTCTTCCAGTATTATGGAGTAAGCAAGAAAAAGTATGGTACCTTTTTTATGTCTAATCACAAAGGGAATTTGAAATAAGGCAAAAATAGCTCACACTTTAAATATAACTTATTTTAAAGAGTTTTTGTTCTTATACAACTTATTATACTTATTACATGTATGGCATATCATTTAAGATAATTTAAATTGGGATCTTTGGGGATATATGTATGGTCATACTGCATCCCCAGCTATAGGAGATTGTTTGTTTTAGGACCTGATGTACCTGTATTAGTTCATTTATGGGTGGAGAGTTACAGAGCGCACTTTTGAGACATATAACGGAGTAGTTTATAATGATGAATTGGCTGTCAGTAAATGCAGGCAATACTGCACTAGCTTCCATAACCTACTTAGGAGGATCTTGTAAGTGATCATGAATGAGAAGGCATCATGATAGAAATAGCTACAGTACTAAGAGAACTTTAATATCTACATACAAGTACAGTATTTTTATTTAATGTGCAGTATATTGAATGTTATACTGGATATTGAAATAAAATTTTAAGAGACTTACATCACCTAATTAACTCTGCAGCTGTTGCTTGCTTATTTATAATCCTTCATGCTTTGTAGAAAGAATTTTATGTGGAATAGGGTCTGGGGTGATTGTCATAATTTATAATTGGTCATCCCAAGGGACAAATCTGACAATCACCTCTTCATTTCTCATATATCTTGGAACTATAATAAGTAGTAAAAAAATTTACTTTAAAGTCTACATTCAGGCAGGTTGACCAATAAAGGTGAAAAGAAAAGGTCTCATTCTGTGTGCTTCACTTGGCCCGGGGGCCCTCAGAACCATAACAGTAAAAGTGCGTAAGTCACCCATGATGCTTCTTGAGAGAGAGCAAAAAGAGGGGCCATAATTCTTTTGTCCAGTCTTAGCAATGCACTATACAGTAGTGAGTACTAAACAGTATCAGTAAAACTACCTAATGCAAACTCTAACATTTTAAAAGATCAGAATCACATTGAAATATCACACAGCCCCTGAAAATTTTTGATTTAACAGCCACAGCAGAGGCGGGATTATAACTGTGAATGACTTCATATTTCAGTGTGATTCTGATCTTTTAAAATGTTAGAGTTTGCATTAGAGTGTTTTAGCATTGACATTAATTTGTCTTAGTATGCCTTATTGTGAAAAATAAGTATATATTAAATGCATCCTCCAAAGTGTGAATTTGTTTCCAGAGTTTAACAGTTAATTCTACGATAAGATTTCTGATAAACTTCCTCATACATCTATGTTTGAAATAATTGTATATATCTTATATAATTTAGCTAAATATCTTTCGTCAGAACAGTCATCCCAACGATTATGAATAAACTCATTTGAAAACAGTACATCATTACTTCAGGACAAAATCGGACAGGTTTGCAACAGCCAATCAGCTGTAGCTCTTGAGGAGGGGGCGGGGCATCTTTTCTCAGCGAAAATGCACAATAGTTATTTTTGCTTACCCAGATACTACTCCGCGAAAGTGGTCTTGATATGGTGACTGATACAAACAAAAATCAGTGAATTTATAAAAATAGTATACAATGTACAGTTTTTTTTTTTAGCTATTTCAACAATAGATGATTTTTTGATGAATATCTCTCTCATTGGTCCTTGTTATTATGTCATGCTTGTGAATGTTATGCATGTGCAGTGATGCCATATATTGCCTCATTGTAGAATACTCACTAGTCGTATGCTGTGTGGCTGTGTAACTAATCACAGTTATATTATATTTAATGTACCTCTATTACTGTATCAATAAATGAATCTATTTGATCAAGATAATGTATGATTTCCCAAGAGGATGAGAGCTGCTGTGTGATTTTCTTACATGTTCACTGAAATTTTTTTGAAAATTAGGGGAAAAAAGCAATTCACACAATAAACAGAAAATGCATGAAAGATACAAGAAAATAAATCATCTTAAATGAATGTAAATGAAGGAGTTTAAATTAATTTCACTTATCTTTTGTGGGTGATAGGTGAGCCATCAGATATTTTGTATAATTAAAATGATGCATACCTGAGGCCCCATCTCAGGACACTACTCCTCATATGATATCACATATATATCATCATATCAGTTGTCCGATTTACTCCTTCCCTTTCCATGAAGGTTTCAGACTAAAACACTTTGACCAACGTCTAATACTTTTCCTCTCGCTTTCTTATCATACAGAAGCTTCCTACTGTGACATTTGCTTTCAAAATTACCATTTACAACTCTCCAGGCATTCTCTAATACTGTACTTTTTAGGGCCAACCAATCATCACACAAGGCTTAAGGATCTGTTAACCAAAATTTGATATCTGGATTACTGCTTGTTCAAATGATTTTTTAGAAATTTTAATTACTTTTGCAATGCTAATTACTCGCCACTTATGGGTTTTCGAGGTCATTCCTTGGTGCTTGTGTATTATTCTGGA